CATAGGCTATCATCCCCTCCCATGATATGGATAGGGCGTCGACTGCCCATGCCAATGGATCCAGTACTGGACTCACAAACGTTGGTATCCGAAAATTCCTGAAAGTCGCAAATAAATCTATGTTTGGAATTTCCCACTTCTGTCTTATCAAATCGAATGCCTCTTCCTTGAGAGTCCATTCGGTCGAGCTCACTCTGTCCTGTCAAGATAATGAGTCCGCAAGGATATTCTTCCGACCTGGAATGTGGCGCGCTCTGATTAAACAATTTATAGCGTCCACTGCTTGATACAGATCCTGAGTGATCCCGAGGAGCTGTTGAGATTTGGTACCTCCCTGTTTGTTGATGTATGCCACTACCATAGAATTGTCCGACACTAACATGAGACTCTTCCCGTACAAGCGATTCCCCAAGCAACAAATCGCTTTCAATAGTGCTAACATCTCCCGACAGTTTATATGCAGATTCACCTCTGACAGATTCCACACACCTTGAATTTGCCAAATGTCCATGTGTGCACCCCAACCCGTGTTTGAGGCATCCACATAAAGTGTCAGATCTGGTAAACGAGGACGTAATGAAACTCCTGGCAACACATTCACATCCACGATAATATCTCACTTCGGACTCTGTCTTGACAGGCTATGAGCAGTTCCAAGTCCTCCATCCGAGACTGGTTGAGCCAGATCTGCGGGATTCTCAACCTTAGTCTTCCTCTTACAGTATAATCCTGGATTAAAGTGAGAGATCCTAGAAGGGACATCCGTGAACGAACTGATGCAGTTGGCGTCTGTAACATATTGGTTATCTTGGTTGATATTTCCACCCAACGATCCTGAGGAAGGAGTATAAATACGTCCAGCTCTTGAGTCCAAGATTGCTCCCAGAAACTTGATTCTCGTAGAAGGTACCAGTTCTGACTTGGTAGGATGAACTATTAGACCCAGATGTGTAAACACTGGATCATAAAGTTGGTTTGCTTCATGAGAACCGCTGTCACCACATTCCTTGCCAAGAAATCGTCCAGATAGCCGTGTATCGCAATCCTTCGTTGATGAAGAAAAGCCAGAATCGGGGAGATTATTTTTGTGAACAACCAGATAAGCCCGAACGGCAGCACCCTGAACTGAAACCTGCGACCGTTCACCGCAAATCTTAGGTATTTGCGAGATCTTGGATGAATTGGGATATGAAGATACGCATCCTTTAGATCTATACTTATAAACTTGGAATCCTGACGAATCAAGGTGCGTAGGTTTGCAATTGATTCCATCCTGAACTTTGGCGGTTTCCTCAAAAATAGCTTGTTTAACACTTTCAAGTCTATTATCATGCGCATTTCGTCTGAATCTTTCTTGGGGAATAGGAATACCGGTGAATAAAACCCGCATGTCTGATCCCCTGGAGGAAGTTCTATGATTGCCTGTTTCTCCAGTAGCTGATTTATTGCTAAGTTTGCCCCCGCTAAACGCTGGCCTTGAAGACAAAACCGACGACCCTCTGGAAAACAAGTCACTGGAGGTTGCTTGTGCCAAGGAAGAATTAACCCCGTGCTCACTACAGACAGGACCCACTCGTCTGATGTTATTAATTTCCAATTGCATAAGTATTGGGCCAATCTGCCCCCTACTGGAGATTGTGTCACCGGACATACAAATTCCAAATCCAATATCATTTCGAGGGACGTTTCCAATTTGTAAGGAAGAGAACGCTGAACAGTGAGACTTGAGTCAAAATCTTGATCCACGAAAAGATCTACCTCCCCTACCTCTACCCCTAGATGAGGATGAGCCTCTAGTAACAGCCACATTTGTACAACACACTCTTGAATCCAAAGCCCGATCAAAGGCAGATCTCTGAAAGTTCTGACTACGATTGATGAAGATGGAGCAGAATGAGACGTAACACTGGAACTCTTCTAGATCTAGTGTCAGCCCTTCCTCTATTTTGGAATAAAAGAGCCGACGCCAAACGTTGATTTAAGTTCCTCGATGTCAAGGCATCTCTAGCTTCAATAGCCTGTTGACATTGTCCATTAAAGGTATTCTCCGATTCCAAGGGCTGATGAAACAGAAAATCCCTTGAAACATCCGGTATCCGCTCAATAGCTGTAAGTCATCCCAATATATTCACTTGAGTCGCCATCGCATCAGCTAAGGACTGATACACTACATCCAGAAAGGAATGCGCTAACACAACCTCTTGAGCAGTCATGGAAATCAAAGTGTCTTTCTTAACTCCCGTATAATCTTGAAACCCCGATGGGAGCAAAGCACGAACTCCCGCAGAAAACCAGTTTGAATAAGACAGGGTATCAATTGCCGAACGGGCTGCCGTATCCAATTCTTACAATTCTTGAAGGTACAGAACGGTGCATATTCATGAGAGCCTCTAGCATCCTGTAACTGTTTAAAGTCCTTGTCTAACCTTGGTTGATTGGCTGGGATAACACGATCATGAATGGATTAAATGGGTTTATGAGAAACCCTAGGCAAAGAATTTAAGTTCGTAGCCTTAGAGAGGCCTAAGTTGTAATTCTCCAACACTTTCCTAAGTGATGATGAATGTGGTAATGACAGCCTGGGCATCCGTTCCGGGGGAAGGCAACCTGTTAATCCGAGTTCCATGGGAATAGCTATCTCCTGTTCGTCCGACGGTGGTGGTAGAGTATTAGGATAAAGTCCGTGCAAAAGTTCCAGCTTTTCTTTAAATGACCAGCCCGGCTTAAAATCCTGTGCTGACATGTCCATAGGCTGTACCATCAACAAGCCTTCTTTCATGGAAAACTCCGGTTGTGAAAAAGGATACACCGATAAATCTTCCTGATCCGTCACATCAGACACTAACAGAATTAAGGGTGGATTGTCCGTGTCAAAATAACCTTGCGGGTCCGTAGCCGTGTCCTCTGAACCGCTAGGCCCGTGTAAATCAGACTGCTGGGTTGATACACCGTTATCCATAGCAGCCGACCCAGTGGCCTGGCTTGAGCCGGAATCACGTGCCGCCTGAGCCGAAGTCAGATCCGCGGAAAGCCGAAGCCAGCGTCAGGAAAGCCCCGGTCTCCCGTGGGGAGAAGGTAGCAGGCTGTATGCGACAGGGAGCAGCCACAGATGACTGGCTCCCGGGGACAAAGGACACGGGGTGTGTGGCCTGGGCCACGGTCACCCCGGTCATCCCCGTCGCTTGAAGCCCTAGGCTTCTCCCTCCGAGGGGACCGGCCTCCTACGTACGCCAGGGCGTGATAACCGGCTTTCCCAGTCATTGCACCCCTTGTTTCCGTAGGAAGGGACTTTGGCTCCCGGCTCTTGCCATCGACCACCAAGACCCTACGGCTGTCTGCCGTCTTGTCGGGTAATACAGGATCTTCCAAATGTTTTGACAGGCGATCAAATTTTTCGTCATTCCTCATCTCCATATCCCGTACAGATGTATCCATGGCCGCCTGGATATCGGATTTAAATCCCGCCAAAAGTTCTGAGAACGCAGCTTTATCCAACTGGGGAGAGGTTTTTTATTTAGATCTAAAACGAGACTTCGGTTCAGATGTTATACATAAAGGCGGATATCCCTGAACTTTCTTCGACTTAGAGCATTCTGATGACGATGAATGGAACTAAGGAACGAGATTTGTCCATCAACAACCAATCTTCTTCCGACATTTCCTGACACAATAAGCATCGATCCGACATTGAGCAAGGTAAGCCTTTATAACAGGAAGCACACAGAGAGTGGGGATCAACATCCGCCATGAATTTCTGATATTGTAAACATTTGAGCTGCGCCATACTTGTCAATCAAAAACGGCGGGAAAACTTCAGATCCTAAATACGTTGGAAATATATATAATATAAATGCAAAACAGCAATGCGATTGAATATTAAATGGAATGCGATTTGTAACTGACCTACATATGAAGAACTGAAGACTTGATTTGAAATGAAAATTTCATTGATTCTCTGCACGTCATGCTTGTGGACCATACAGAAAATTATGAAGGGTTCTAGGAGAACAATACAGTGACGTCAGGATCAAGGGAGATAACTCAGGGGTAGATTAGGTATACCACTAGGAATAGCTATGAGTTAGTGTTAAAATTTCTTTTGATTTTCTGTATGTATTGTGTGAATCCACCGGAATAAGGCTACCATAATCAAGAGGGAATGTTTACGTTATAATTGTCTATATCTTACCATGACAAGAAAACTGTTTATTTTCGTACTGTCATCTTTTAAAGCAGTTCCAAGACCTGACTGACTGACTGAGTTTGGTTTTACGCCGCTTTTAGCAATATTCCAGCAACATCATGGCAGGGGACACCAGAAAAATGGGCTTCACACATTGTACCCATGTGGGGAATCGAACCCAGGTCTTCGGCGTGACGAGCCAACGCTTTAACCATTAGGCTACCCCACCGCCCTTCCCAGACCTGAAATGTACATACTGCAGTTATGAAATGTACACCCTTTTTGAGATATTACATGAAGCTTTACATGTGCATTCCAGTGTGCTGGAGTATAATCGCCTGTTTGGACCAAAATTTTAAACAGTGCCCTTGGATTCAGGTGGTGCTTAACTAATACTCATGTTTATATTATGAGGCCCTTGCTGGTATTGAAAAGGTCTCCATCATTTCACCAAAATTCATTAAAAGTTACGTTACTGGGTATTTTTCAACCTAGACATGGGTAAATCTGTGAAAAATATGGGTAAAGCTAATTGTTGTTTCCGGCTTAGTTCATGAGAACATACACATGGTGACCAATACATCAGCCTATAAAGCTCTTCCTAACACAACAGAAAATACATTGCAAATGGTAAGTCATCATGTCTAGAGACAATTTATCTCAGATTTCACAATTAGTTGACCAAGTTTGTTATCAGCTGTTCCTTTACCAGAGGTCTCCCAAGAGATACTGTGTCTCTCTTAAAGGATACATTGATGTTCACTGAGTGCTTTATGCTATAAGAGTTGTATGCATTAATCAAGAACAAAAACATATGTCAGTTGGGATGTACCACTTTATGTAATATCCTTTGTTATGAAAGACTGTCTTTTGATCCTCCTATTGGCACAGTGCTCAAGTAAAACCTGTTGAAATTATAGTGTGCTAATCCAATCTATGTTTCAACGCTTTCAAAGCTGGACTTTTGTTTCCCTCTAAGATACAGGCAACAGAACAGGAAACACTGCTGCTGCCTCTCCCCTCAAACTCTCCATCTTGATAAGCCATAGACCTTATTCATCCAACACCATTGTGCACACAATGAGAGCACAAGTATACTTTACTCAGGCCCTGCTACACAATTTTTCAACTTTCTATTTAGGTACAAAATGTCACAAGTAGAAACCTGTTGTCCTGCAACTACATTCAATAGGGTCTGATGGCTGACCATTTCACAGTCATTCTTCTGTATTGTAGCTATGAGACAGGTCTTGCAGGGTCAACTAGTCCTGTGGGCAGTCAGCCCTGTCACTGGGCGGGGCACGTAGATACCACTCTGTCCACGACCCATCATAGATAGACACATCCTCCTTGCTGCACTGATAAGCTGCAAGTGCAATACAACAAGCAGATACTCCTGAAAAAAATATTAAACAGTCCCAGACCATTGCAGCACATCAGGATATGTAGTCAACAAAAACAAAGGTGGTTATCAAAGGTTGCTGCCTGCATTGATATTCACAAACTGAAGAGGCAATGGTAAAGTAGGACCTGTCATAGTGAGAGATGTGGAGGTGAGGTGAAATTGGGTCTAACGTCCTGCTTGAGAATATTTCGCTCATATGACGACGTGGAGAGATGTGGAAGCAATGGTCCCGTCATAGTGAGAGATGTAGAGGCAATGGTAGAGTAGGACCTGTCATAGTGAGGGATGTGGAGGCAATGGTAGAGTAGGACCTGTCATAGTGAGGGATGTGGAGGCAATGGTAGAGTAGGACCTGTCACGCCGAGAGATGTTGAGGCAATGGTAGAGTAGGACCTGTCATAGTGAGAGATGTGGAGGCAATGGTAGAGTAGGACCTGTCATAGTGAGAGATGTGGAGGCAATGGTAGAGAAGGACCTGTCACAGTGAGGGATGTGGAGGCAATGGTAGAGTAGGACCTGTCATAGTGGGAGATGTGGAGGCAATGGTAGAGAAGGACCTGTCACAGTGAGGGATGTGGAGGCAATGGTAGAGTAGGACCTGTCATAGTGAGAGATGTGGAGGCAATGGTAGAGAAGGACCTGTCACAGTGAGGGATGTGGAGGCAATGGTAGAGTAGGACCTGTCATAGTGGGAGATGTGGAGGCAATGGTAGAGAAGGACCTGTCACAGTGAGGGATGTGGAGGCAATGGTAGAGAAGGACCTGTCATAGTGAGGGATGTGGAGGCAATGGTAGAGTAGGACCTCTCATAGTGAGGGATGTGGAGGCAATGGTAGAGTAGGACCTGTCACAGTGAGAGATGTGGTGACAATGGCACAGTAGGAGGACACTGAGATGTGGACAATGGTAGAGTAGGACCTGTCACACTGAGAGATGTGGAGCCAATGGTAGAGTAGGACCTGTCACAGTGAGGGATGTGGAGGCAATGGTAGAGTAGGACCTGTCACAGTGAGAGATGTGGAGGCAATGGTAGAGTAGGACCTGTCACACTGAGAGATGTGGAGGCAATGGTAGAGTAGGACCTGTCACAATGAGAGATGAGGAGGCAATGGTAGAGTAGGACCTGTCACAGTGAGAGATGTGGAGGCAATGGTAGAGTAGGACCTGTCATAGTGAGAGATGTGGAGGCAATGGTAGAGTAGGACCTGTCACAGTGAGAGATGTGGAGGCAATGGTAGAGAGTGAGGACCTGTCACAGTGAGAGAGATGTGGAGGCAATGGTAGAGAAGGACCTGTCATAGTGAGGGATGTGGAGGCAATGGTAGAGGACCTGTGTGGATGCAATGGAGGCAATGGTAGAGTAGGACCTGTCACAGTGAGGAGATGTGGAGGCAATGGTAGAGTAGGACCTGTCACAGAGTTGTGGAGGCAATGGTAGAGGACCTGTCACACCGAGAGATGTGGAGGCAATGGTCATCACAGGGAGGACCTGAGAGATGTGGAGGCAATGGTAGAGTAGGACCTGTCACACCGAGAGATGTGGAGGCAATGGTCAAGTAGGACCTGTCACAGTGAGAGATGTGGAGACAATGGCAGAGTAGGACCTGTCACACTGAGAGATGTGGAGGCAATGGTAGAGTAGGACCTGTCACAGTGAAACATGTGGATGCAATGGTAGAGTAGGACCAGTCACAGTGAGAGATGTGGAGGCAATGGTACAGTAGGACCTGTCACACTGAGAGATGTGAAGGCAATGGTAGAGTAGGACCTGTCACAGTGTGTGATGTGATGGCAATTGTAAAGTAGGACCTGTCATAGTGAGAGATGTAGAGGCAATGGTAAAGTAGGACCTGTCATAGTGAGGGATGTGGATGCAATGGCAGAGTAGGACCTGTCATAGTGAGTGATGTGGAGGCAATGGTAAAGTATGACCTGTCACACTGAGAGACATGGAGGCAATCGTAGAGTAGGACCTGTCACACTGAGAGATGTGGAAGCAATGGTAGAGTAGAACCTGTCATAGTGAGTGATGTGGAGGCAATGGTAGAGTAGGACCTGTCACAGTGTGTGATGTGATGGCAATTGTAAAGTAGGACCTGTCATAGTGAGAGATGTAGAGGCAATGGTAGAGTAGGACCTGTCACACTGAGAGATGTGGAGGCAATGGTAGAGTAGGACCTGTCACACCGAGAGATGTGGAGGCAATTGTAGAGTAGGACCTGTCATAGTGAGTGATGTAGAGGTAATGGTAGAGTAGGACCTGTCACACTGAGAGATGTGGAGGCAATGGCAAAGTAGGACCTGTCACACTGAGAGATGAAGAAGCAATGGTATAGGGGCCTGTCATAGTGAGAGATGTAGAGGCAATGGTAGAGTAGGACCTGTCACACTGAGAGATGTGGAGGCAATGGTAGAGTAGGACCTGTCATAGTGAGAGATGCGGAGGCAATGGTAAAGTAGGACCTGTCATAGTGAGAGATATGGAGGCAAAGGTAGAGTAGGACCTGTCACACTGAGAGATGTAGAAGCAATTGTAAAGTAGGACCTGTCACACCGAGAGATGTGGAGGCAATGGTAGAGTAGGACCTGGTACACTGAGAGATGTAGAGGCAATGGTATAGTAGGACCTGTCACACTGAGAGACGATGTAGAAGCAATGGTAAAGTAGGACCTGTCACACTGAGATGTAGAGGCAATGGTAGAGTAGGACCTGTCATAGTGAGAGATGTGGAAGCAATGGTAGAGTAGGACCTGGTAAAATGAGAGATGTAGAAGCAATGGTAGAGTAGGACCTGTCACACTGAGAGATGTAGAAGCAATGGTAAAGTAGGACCTCTCACACTGAGAGATGTGGAGGCAATGGTAAAGTAGGAATGTCATAGTGAGGGATGTGGAGGCAATGGTAGAGTAGGACCTGTGACAGTGAGAGATGTAGAGGCAATGGTAGAGTAGAACCTGTCATAGTGAGTGATGTGGAGGCAATGGTAGAGTAGGACCTGTCACAGTGTGTGATGTGATGGCAATTGTAAAGTAGGACCTGTCATAGTGAGAGATGTGGAGGCAATGGTAGAGTAGGACCTGTCACACTGAGAGATGTAGAGGCGATGGCAAAGTAGGACCTGTCACACTGAGAGATGAAGAAACAATGGTATAGGGGCCTGTCATAGTGAGGGATGTGGAGGCAATGGTAGAGTAGGACCTGTCATAGTGAGAGATGTGGAGGCAATGGTAAAGTAGGACCTGTCATAGTGAGAGATATGGAGGCAAAGGTAGAGTAGGACCTGTCACACTGAGAGATGTAGAAGCAATTGTAAAGTAGGACCTGTCACACCGAGAGATGTGGAGGCAATGGTAGAGTAGGACCTGGTACACTGAGAGATGTAGAGGCAATGGTATAGTAGGACCTGTCACACTGAGAGATGTAGAAGCAATGGTAAAGTAGGACCTGTCACACTGAGATGTAGAGGCAATGGTAGAGTAGGACCTGTCATAGTGAGAGATGTGGAGGCAATGGTAGAGTAGGACCTGGTAAAATGAGAGATGTAGAAGCAATGGTAGAGTAGGACCTGTCACACTGAGAGATGTAGAAGCAATGGTAAAGTAGGACCTCTCACACTGAGAGATGTGGAGGCAATGGTAAAGTAGGAATGTCATAGTGAGGGATGTGGAGGCAATGGTAGAGTAGGACCTGTGACAGTGAGAGATGTAGAGGCAATGGTAGAGTAGGACATATCACACTGAAAGATGTAGAAGCAATGGTAGCGTAGGACCTGTCATAGTGAGAGATGTAGAGGCAATGGTAAAGTAGGACCTGTCATAGGGAGAGAAGTGGAGGTAATGGTAGCGTAGGACCTGTCACAGTGAGAGATGTAGAAGCAATGGTAGAGTTGGATCTGTCATAGTGAGAGATGTGGAGGCAATGGTCAAGTGGGACCTGTCATAGTGAGAGATCTGGAGGCAATGGTCAAGTGGGACCTGTCATAGTGAGATATGTGGAGGCAATGGTCAAGTGGGACCTGTTACAGTGAGGGATGTAGAAGCAATGGTAGAGTAGGACCTGTCACAGTGAGGGATGTGGAGGCAATGGTAAAGTAGGATCTGTCATAGAGAGAGATGTGGAGGCAATGGTAGAGTAGGACCTGTTACAGTGAGGGATGTAGAGGCAATGGTAGAGTATGACCTGTCATAGTTAGAGATGTGGAAGCAATGGTAGAGTAGGACCTGTCATAGTGAGAGATGTGGAGGCAATGGTGGAGTAGGACCTGTTACAGTGAGGGATGTAGAAGCAATGGTAGAGTAGGATCTGTCATAGTGAGAGATGTGGAGGCAATGGTCAAGTGGGACCTGTCATAGTGAGAGATGTGGAGGCAATGGTCAAGTGGGATCTGTCATAGTGAGAGATCTGGAGGCAATGGTCAAGTGGGACCTGTCATAGTGAGATATGTGGAGGCAATGGTCAAGTGGGACCTGTTACAGTGAGGGATGTGGAGGCAATGGTGGAGTAGGACCTGTTACAGTGAGGGATGTGGAGGCAATGGTAAAGTAGGATCTGTCATAGAGAGAGATGTGGAGGCAATGGTAGAGTAGGACCTGTCACAGTGAGGGATGTAGAGGCAATGGTAGAGTATGACCTGTCACAGTGAGGGATGTGGAGGCAATGGTAGAGTAGGACCTGTCACAGTGAGGGATGTGGAGGCAATGGTAAAGTAGGATCTGTCATAGAGAGAGATGTGGAGGCAATGGTAGAGTAGGACCTGTTACAGTGAGGGATGTAGAGGCAATGGTAGAGTAGGACCTGTCATAGTTAGAGATGTGGAAGCAATGGTAGAGTAGGACCTGTTATAGTGAGAGATGTGGAGGCAATGGTGGAGTAGGACCTGTTACAGTGAGGGATGTAGAAGCAAAGGTAGAGTAGGATCTGTCATAGTGAGAGATGTGGAGGCAATGGTCAAGTGGGACCTGTCATAGTGAGAGATGTGGAGGCAATGGTCAAGTGGGACGTGTTACAGTGAGGGATGTAGAGGCAATGGTAGAGTAGGACCTGTCACAGTGAGGGATGTGGAGGCAATGGTCGTAGATTACAGACCTGACTTATCTATAATATTATAAGTTAAATATATATATTACCTGATCCACAGGACACAGTCAAGGGTTTGGAAAGGTCAATGTTTGCAGAGGCAAACAACTGCCGTAGTTCAGCCTCAGTCTTCATGGTCTTCTTGTCAGGATCCAGCACACTCATAAAGGGTATATTTACTGAACCAGGAATGTGTCCAGGATTGATGTCTGAAGTATACAAAGGCATCTTTGTATATAAACCTTGAAAGTCACTTTTCAGAAAATAAATCAAGATCTGCTTCTCAGTTAGGTTGACGTCTTGCTCATGTGGCTACTCGAGCATTGCACATTCAACCTAGAAAGAGATAAATTGTTATATGTAGTCATGATCATTGATGATTGTGTTTGTATACTTTTGAAAAGACAACATATTGTACGAAATAGAATGTACAAGTATTCTGTACTCTGTACAAGTACTCCAACAGACTGTTTCACCTACAAACTGTAGACTTTTAGTCCTATAGAATAATGGTTATAGTAAACTGACAACAGTTAGAAGGGTTTCTGAAAACTGTCATCTCTGGTACAAACATCTATCATAGCCATAACAAGCGACAGCCTTGTCTGTCCACCAGGCCTGATTTCACTCAGTATATACAAAGTTAGAAAAGCCAGCAACAAGGGCTTAACTCATAAAAACAGATCAAAGACACCATTTTCTTAACTCGTTTGAGACCATGACCTTCAAGGCTTCATATCAATGTGTTAATTTCATTCCTCTAACTTCCAGGTTTTGATAAAGCTGGTGACGAGATGTACACTAAACCAAACTGGTAGGGATGGAGAATATGCCCAATAAAATGTATTCAAGTAGAAAATACTGATCTCAGTCCCATTTTGCTGATGTATAGGCCAATACTGCTATAAACATCGACTGGTCTATTCAATCACTTGGCTTGTACTTTTCAAAGTCATGATATATTGAGAAGATGGAGATATCATGCTTAAATTGCTATATGCACTCTAAAAACTAAAAAAGTTCTCACTTGGTCTAGGTTCAGGAGATTTCCCTTGGAAGCGACCAGAGGCCCTTGCATCAACAAGCTGGAATTGTTTGTCATCTATATTTCTTTTCACATCTCCAAAAGATTTTACAAATGAAGGAACAAAGTTAGCCTTAAAAGGTTTGGTGGAAACAGACTGTGATTCAGATGAAGTAAGGTTGCTCTCTCTGCACCACTTAGGAAATCCTCCATCTAATACTGAAACGTTATCATGGCCAAAAGCTCGAAATGTCCACCATACACGTTGAGCTGAAAAGAGCCCAAAATGTTCATTATTATCATACACTACAACGTGTGTGTCATTTCCAATGCCAAGACCTCCAACATATGCTTCAAACTCTAATGGGCTCGGTAGCATATGTCCGTAGGGTGAACTTTTGTCAGCGCACTCGTCAATGTCGAAAAACTGTGCACCAGGGATGTGTTTTTGTTGAAATTCAACGTTTCCGTTTCTGCCTGACGTTGGGAGGTGCCAAGAAGCATCAATTATCCTGATGCATTTAGAGTTTGATGCAATGACATCTTTCAACCACTTCGTAGAAACTAGAGCCGCTACACGATTCATGATTTATACTGAGAAGATTGTCGTTTCCCAAGTTTTATTATCGACGATTTCTGAAAATATATCACCTTTCCCCGATGTATCTACACCACTGAAAGGTTAACTCCCCTTGGTAGTTGAACAAAAACGAATTCAGAATATCATCAATATTTAACTTGACTTAGCATGTTTTTCATTCATAAATAGTTGGCTGCAAATAGTGTAAATGGAAAGATTTAACCCCCGTTTTTTATCATTCTATGCCTAAGAATAGATGGGTTTAAAGCCAACCCTAGCCCTGACCCTAAACCTAACATAATGCTAAATTTATCAAAATCCAGAACCATAACCTCATCCCTAACCCCTAGAAATAATCATAATATATAGAATGTATTTCAAGCGGGGGTTACGGGCGGAACTGTTACCGTTTAAATATCTCTTGCAGATTGTTTCTGCTGGAAAATTGTGTTTTAAAGAAGTTATATGAGTTCATTCGGATATTCCGTATTCCGCTGGTGGTGTCGTCTTTTATAGCATAGCTAGACGTGATCGCTTACATCAACACAATGACGAATGAATGAACGAAAAAGCAACTAAGCATTTGCCAGTACCACTTACGTATCATTTTATCTAACAAAATAGTTTGAAAACGATAATGTAAGATTATTACTTTCTTTTGAAATTAGGAAAACGTTTTTACTTGTTATTAGAGACCCGTCACATTTGTCAACTTCCGTACGCAACAGGTTGTGTTTTGGCGAGAAGGTTCAAGGCTGCAGGACCAAGATTTTAACATGATTTTACATTTTAGACTTCATCCACTTATGACGACATCCATGTTTCTGTAAAGATGTCGAGACCGGAGTCTGATCTCAAAGAAAGATTGAAAAACCTCTTCAAATTCAGCAGAGCTCCATCAGCACCGTCGACAGCTCATAGAACTCAAACCAAAGATATCGTCCTTACACCTGATGTTTTGAGGGTTCGTATTTTCTTTATTAGGCCAATACAGGGTAGCTAAAGGATATGAACAACATTTCCGTTTACAGGGATAGAGCAGTTGTAAGTTATAGAGTGATAGTTAGTTCACAAGGGCTACAAACGTATTTGTCAAAACGGCCTCAAACCTCAAAACGGACGAGTTCACTGAAAGTCGAAGACCAGAAACCAAACAAAAGATGGCATTTTGTAGTTTTATATCTGTTTGTCATGTTCATTTCATAGCAAATTTCAAGAGCATCACGGGCTAAGTACATTTTAAAACCTCAGCAGGCATGGTGAGCTGCATGGAAGTAACCTGCTTCCCCCATCAGTCTAGTTCGGTGTGGTCAGTCAATTTTGACCATATCCCAACTGGCTCATGCGTGGTTCCTTGATCTTTATGGTTAGTTGTGTTGAAATTTCGATAGGTTACCCCCAACCATCCTTAATCTTTACTATCTTAAAAATTTCATAAATTAGGGTAAAGTGTTGGCTTATAACCTTCAATCCTCCACTAATTGAAAATCAGAAAAATGCCCCTGGTAAAGTGCAATGCTGCCACACCCCCTTGCCAAAATAACCCTATTTCCAGCTGGAAACTCTATTAAGCACAGGGGTTTGTATTGCTGAAAATAAAAGTATTAATACGTCCTGGGTCCAACACTCATTCACTGATAGCAATCGAATATTAATATATGTAGATGGCTATCAGTGATCAAGGGCTGTGGTCATATTGTTTTGTCTATCTTGAGTAAACCACACGGCATGTGGGGACAAGACTTAGAAATTAAATTAATGATAGGTAATGAATATTTAGTATTAGATTAATAAGATTTGAAAGGTAATTTGTATGATTTGGTTGGAAAATCTGTACAAACTTACACAGTAAAAGACTTCCTGTGTACTGATCATGATGGCCATTTCAGTAGAACATAAAGAGAAGAGAAAAAAAATCACTACAGTGCAGTGTTTGATTTTTTTGTTATGTTGCCCATTGAGCACTGTTGGTTAAAGGTAGTATTTGAATCCCTCAAAATTGTATTGTAAACCTTCAACCCAGGTTTGTTTTAAGGACCCTCTCAAAATAATGATAAGATATAAAGAAGTATGTTATGAAGACTCACTGAAAAAAGTATTGATGCAGACAGTCTACAAAACATACATTTTGAAAATATATTTCCCTTTTTGAAATCCAGATTTGAATTTCCCGCTGTATCAGTCAGGTGGCCAGAGGAGGTGTGTTTTCATAGCAACAAGTCTGTTAGTGGAGGAACAGTTTCATTCAGGGTTTCATGTTTCAATTTTTCCCCAGGCATGCTGTGAAAATGACCTTCTCCCCTGATCCCATACTGTGCAGGGTTAGGGTTGTACACTTACTTCATGCTGACATCAACAAGCTCAACATTTTATTCTCCCAAGAAGGGGTGATATTGTTTAGTACTTTTGTTGTCATTGTCAACACTCTGACCAGTTAAATTTAATTCATCAATATGTAGTGAAAGGGTTGTTGGACATTTACTATAAGGCACATGTTTATTCCAGTTGTAAATTCCAAGCTTAACCTTTGACATCACCATGCACCCACAGCCGTTACAGTCCTGTCGCTCATGAGCAGATAATATCTACGCTGCTGAGGAGTAGCCAATGGGAGACTAATTGGAAACCCATGGGATTTTTTAAACTTTGCACTCTGGTCTTTAATATCATTATTATGTGAACCACTTGGTATATATTCTACTGAAACTGACTTGGTTGATATTTATTGTCAGCTGCTTATGGAAATTCCTATCCTTGAATATGGGCTCCATAGGAAATATATGTAGTCAATTCCTTGATTTGAGAATGATTAACAGCATGCAAAATAACCCAGGAATATGAAACAACAAGCTGGTTGTGAGACAAGCCAGGCTACAAAATGTCTAAGGGATTCACAACTTCTTGGGCATAACACATGTGGGGAGTCGAACCCAGGTTTTCAGCATGACGTGCAGACATTTTAACCATTAGGCTACCCCCCAGTCTCAGAGTGGTTGATAGGCCAGCACTGTCAAACTTTGATGTATTTGAAGTAATATTTGTAGGAGCCTGACTATTATATGCCTTCATGACTTTTTCTGGATTGAAAGGACAATGGTGTCTATCAAATTGTTCCTTGTGTATCAAATTCATTTGAAATTCATATTTTCTTTAATCAATAAATAACACATATTCATTTAAGTCAGTTACCTTAAGTTTGTTTCAAGGGTTCCTCTCTCCCCGCCCCCCCACCTTCCTTTTGGAAATGACTTAAGACCACATTGAAGATCTTTTTTTTGCGTGGGTTGTGCCAATGGGGTGTTTAGGGGGTTCAAAACCCCTTAAACACACCCACCACCACCACCACCACCCCATTTCAAAATTCCTGAATCCGCCCATGATATATATACCCACTTTACTGCTGTCCTTTGAATCAGCCTGCCTATCATCAGGTCCAATCATGTTGATGGAAAACAGTTTGGTGTATAGAGCATTGCTTTGAATCATGGTTATATTATAGGAGATTTGTCCTGAGAGTCCTGCTAACAATCGAATCCGGACCATCCGTGATCTCAGTGACACAGTGAAGAAGAAGAGGTTGGAAGAGGTAAGACTAAACCAGCAGGTGCCAACTGTAGCGTAACTATCTGGCAGATCAACTTGAAGGAATAATTCCATGGAATACCCTGCCTCTATTACATATTGTAACCCAAATTCTGTTGTTTGGCTGTCATCACACTAGATATTCTACCATTGTTGCCAATTGTCTCCTCTATTTACATCAGCCTCATTGTTCTCATCCTGAGGCCAGATTTCTCTTTCAGTGAAACCATGAAGGGCCTTTAGAAAGTGCCTACAGGGGTAAAGTTCAACACTTCCAGGGCTGTCCTTCACCACCAGGAGTAGTGATCAGAGAAATTGGACAACAGGATAACTGGCACATACTGAGCAAACATAGTATAAGTCACATGAGTCAATCATTACTGTCAAGTCACTGTCATCTAAGGTTAATGTTCATATGTAATTGTCTGTGGATGTTGATACCTTCAATACTGGAGCTTACATCAATTTGTTTGTGACAGAAGTAAGCTGCATATTACCCCCACTTCACAAGGATTTTGTGGACTGGCTGGAGATGAGATTGGATCAGGGTGGTCTTGTTCACTGTGTCAACATTCAGAAGATCTAAGATGTGGTTGTCTGCCCATTTCACGTCAGCTCTGTGGAAATGATGGCGGTAGAACCAAGCAGTCAAAGCATGGAGTCATCATTTGGACCTCTCATGAGTTCTGGACAGACAACATGTCAGTGTTAGCCCATAAACAGTGACATTCAGGAACAAACTCAGGAATATTTTGGTTGGAGACTTTGCATATAATGGCATGGCAGATACACCTGTTGAAGGATACAGGTCTTCTTTAGCCTTGCTCATCTTATATGATGGTTTATTCAAAGGTACTCACCCAGTATTCATCTCACTTTATATAAAGCCTTTCAAACCCAAACACTTTTTCCCAAAATTGAATTTTTCCATCATTCAGTCAGATGGAATCCCCCCATCAGGCACAGACAAAATCCTCTTCCCTGCAGATGTCTCGGTAGACAGCGCATCCAAATTTGATGGTATTGATTCCTCCTCAGTTTTTGTTGACTGGACAGACTCCTTTGTCCAGGTAAAGCCCTGAAGCATTATCCAACAGCTATTACAATGATAGATGACACAGAAAACAAGTGTTCATCACGTGCAAGCCATGGTCCCCTAAAGGAAACACAAACACTACCTTGGCCCCACTGCAGAATAATTGAGGACTGCTATAGTAGACAGCCACCATGATGAACATATCTCCACCACAACGTTTGGGAATTGTAAAGCCAGTGAAATACAGGTTCCAGCAACTAGTGCAGCATTGTGGGACACACTGTTGAACAAGTTCTATCAAGCTCACAGTGGAAATCCAGCAATACACTATCAAAGTTTACTCAGGGCTCCAGATAAGGGCCGTATCAGCGTATGTACAGATAGAAAATATGCACGATACGGTAGGAAATAATTTAGAAAACGTAGCAGATAAGCACCACAGCAATGGTGTATGGACTTAAAATCATTTACAGATGTATTTATCTGAAAAAGTTTTGTTTTATTGTTTATTGACCTGTTTACACAAGAGTAGCAATGTTGTGGTGCCAGAGGCCCAGATAAGCTGCGTATCCGGGTAAAATACGCATAGAAAATTTTCAATTACGCATTGAAAAAATTGTTGCGTACCAATTACGCATTTAAAATGTTAGATACGCAAAATGTTTAAAACAAATGCGTACAGAATATATTTATAAAAATCGCTTGCGTAATGAAAAAGACATGGATTGCTATCAAGTTGTACTGTTAGTATAGGACTAGTGTTGTACTGTCAGTATAGGATGAGGGATTTTTTATGAAATCATTTCCATTATATTTAAGTTGGTTTTGATTAGGTATGACATAAGGTAGAACATACCTGCTTAGTAAACTTACTCAATGACATAATACTTGATTAGGTATGACATAAGGTAGAACATACCTGCTTAGTAAACTTACTCAATGACATAATACTTAGGTGAGTAAAATGACTGAAATACGCACATATTTGAAAGCAGTGGGTAACGGAAAATGAAATACTCACTCAATATTCATAATACCCACTCCAAAAAAATACAGTGGGTACAGTACCCACATGAGCTAAATCTTATCTGGAGCTCTGGGTGCATACATGAAACGAAACACAAGATTACTGATACTCCATTAAATTCCATTCAGTACACTAAATGTACTCTTAAGGTTTTCCAGTAGTCCTATATTGAAAAAATAAGGAGTACGTACTCCTGATGTTGAAATATTATCTGGAGCCCTGTTTACTTGTGTGATATCAAACCTGATCTTTGTGGGGTGGAATGGGCTGGAGTTTGTAAAATGTAAGTTAGACTTTTGATCATTTGTGGATTATATGCTTGATCGACTGTATTGATGCCAGAATTTAATTTCCTCAAAGGTGGATATGACATCAGATAACTGGAGGTGACATCATAACTGGGAGTGACATCATTCAAACTAGAAAAGATCTCCCACAGAATTAGAAGTGATGTCATGTGTTCTAAATATGACTTTGTAATATTGCATGCGACATCAATGGATCTGGAAGAGGTCCCCAACAGATACCAAAAAGACATTATAATACCGCAGTGACATCACAGAAATACCAGTATAATCATGATAATGATGGAGTTGAAGAACCAGGTAGTAAGCTGATGTCAGCTTTTAAAGACTGCTACATGCCAAATTCCACATGTCCCGTTGGTAAAGGTCTGGCTATTATGTCATAGAGGTTATGTTTTCACAGAAATTATCAATCAATAGTCATCACAGTGTATGATTCTGAAAATACTGCCACAATTACACCAGGAGTAGTCCCACCCACCTCGGTCATTTATTTGCATCTAGGTGATGTTGGTTGTTTGAAAGAAGTGAAGTTATTCCTTTCCATATATGTGCAGTAACACTGGGAATAGGTTGAAGTCATTAAACTAATTGGGGGAAAGCTGATAGTGAAGAACACCAAAGGATTTTATATCAGTTATGACTACAAATATATATATATATTTCCTTTTTATGTTACAATTTCAGCAGTTTCATGTTCTCCAATTGAAAGTATTTTAATTGTACAGTGAACAGTGTTGATTTAAATACATAATGTGTACATTACCTCTTACATACAGTACACAGACATACAAAGTACGTAACTTGCATAGTTACAATTAGAAAATGCAATGAATTTCATAATATTTTACTAATTCTTTTTGAAACCAAATAAAATTGAGTTTCACTGCTTTTCTATCACATTTATACAACATATATTTGACTATTATTCTCACCACATTAACAGGATTATTATGTTTACCTTTAAATCCAAATAAAATATGCTCTTCACTTAAATAAATGTTTCTTCCTATGTATCCTTTAATCCATTCAGTACATTTGGTCCAAATATCCATGGCATATTGGCAGTTACAAAGCACATGTGCAATATTTCAGCTGGATCATTACACAATGAACATGCTGATGACTTGACATGACCACTAACATATGGCTGTGATGTAACAGAGGTAGTATTTTACAGGTTACTGTCGGTATATTAAGGAGTTTCCTCCAGTATGTAGAGTTTAAGAATTTGTTTCTGACTCCTTGCTGTTGGTTGCAGAATGCAATAGAGGCACTATGGAAGAACATAAGTGATCTCCTTCAACCTCAAGTGACCACAGAAAGTCGGCAGGTTGCTTTGCACTTTCTGAAGTGTCTCTTGGAGGGACAGGTAAGCTGTCAACAGGCCCTTAATGGTCTCCTGGAGGAACAGGGACATGTGAGGCTGGAAGAACAGATGTCATATTCACATTTATATATTTCAGCATTATCACATTATCTCATTTATGTTTTGATGAGAAAAATATGAGAAAAACTATTTGATGCGTAAACATATTTTGAGGAATTCTCCTCCAATTACATGCTAGTTCTGTTATACAGTGATTATGTTTGTCTGAATGTTGATCAATCATCATTTCAATGATGTCATCACACCTTAGCTATCATTGTTTATGGTTGCCTCTGTTTTATTCTGTTATTATTTTCTTTACAGCAGATTGTTTGAGGTGATCAGTCCATAGCGCTAGTACATGAGGCTTTTCATGCAGTTCTGTTGCTGATTTTCTAACATATGTTCCCATCCAGCTGCAGAATCTTGGCATCCTAAGAGGGCATTTCTTCAAGGTCATCGAAGCCTTGACAGGTCCTGATGATCTCTCACACAGGTACGGTTTCCAGAGATGTACAAGTTTAGAACTGAGTTACGAAATCACTGAGGAACACTAAATAACAGAAAAAACACCCAAAAAAAAGAATCCTGTGAAAAGATTATTGTCTTGTGAATATCTCAGTGTCATCTTTTGAATGCATCATTTTTGTCTTGTGAATATGTCAGTTCCGTGTTGTGAATCCATCAGTTCTGTCTTGTGAATATATCAGTTCTGTCTTGTGAATATATCAGTTCCGTGTTGTGAATATGTCTTGTGAATATGTCAGTTCCATCTTGTGAATATGTCAGTTCCATCTTGTGAATGTGTCACTTCCATCTTGTGAATGTGTCACTTCCATCTTGTGTATATGTCAGTTCCATCTTGTGAATATGTCACTTCCATCTTGAGAATGTTTCAGTTCTGTCTTGTGAATATGTCAGTTCCATCTTGTGAATGTGTCAGTGCTGTCTTGTGAATGTGTCAGTTCATCTTGTGAATGTGTCAGTTCCATATTGTGAATATGTCAGTTGTCTTGTGAATGTGTCAGTTCCATCTTGTGAATGTGTCAGTTCCATCTTGTGAATATGTCAGTGCTGTCTTGTGAATGTGTCAGTTCCATCTTGTGAATATGTCAGTTCCATCTTGTGAATGTGTCAGTTCCATCTTGTGAATATGTCAGTTCCACCTAGTGAATGTGTCCATGCTGTCTTGTGAATGTGTCAGTTCCATCTTGTGAATATGTCAGTTCCATCTTGTGAATGTGTCAGTTCCATCTTGTGAATATGTCAGTGCTGTCTTGTGAATGTGTCAGTTCCATCTTGTGAATATGTCAGTTCCATCTTGTGAATGTGTCAGTTCCATCTTGTGAATATGTCAGTTCCATCTTGATTTCCATGGAAACGATTTGGGCTTAGTCTAAAAAAAAAATCCAGTTTAAGTATCTATCAGATGATTTGCTCTTGCAAATATGTAGTGGCGGGGGGGTGGTGGGGGGGGGGTTGTTGTCATGTTCTGATGACTCTTCTCATTTATTATTTTCTCAGTTTCAATGGACTTAAGTCTCAAAATGGAGGGGTGGGCTTCGTTTCCGAAAACCATTCAATATCTTTCAACAGAACTTGGTAAATATATGAGACAGATCCCAAAGTGGTGCCTTTTGCTATTTACAGATTTTTGGCATTCATATTTTTCCCGGTCTCCATGGAAACAATTCAGACTTAGTCTGAAAAGAGAGAGGTGGGCTTCATTTCCAGAGCATAACTCGAAAACCATTTAATATCTTTCAACAGAACTTGGCAGATATATGAGACAGATCCCAAAGTGTTGCCTTTTGCTATTTACAGATTTTTGGCATTTATATTTTTCCTGGTCTCCATGGAAACAATTTGGACTTAGTCTGAAAAGGAAGAGGTGGGCTTCATTTCCAGAGCATGACTTGAAAACCATTCAATATCTTTCAACAGAACTTGGCAGATATATGAGACAGATCCCAAAGTGTTGCCTTTTTGCTATTAACAGATTTGTGGTATGTTTACTATTCCCAGTTTCCATGGAAACGATTCGGACCTAGTCTGAAAAGGAAGAGATGGGATTCGTTTCCGGAGCACAACTCGAAAACCTTTCAATATCTTTCAGCGAAAACTTGGCAGATACATGAAGCAGATCTTGAAGTGGTGCCTTTTGCTATTACAGATTTTTGGCATTTATATTTTTCATGATTACCATGAAAACAATATGGACTTAGTCTAAAAATATCAAGTTGGATTTCAAGTAACTGTCACATATGTTCTTTCAAATATGTGGGGGCTGGGGGGATATGTCATCTTCTGATGACTCTTGTTGAATATCACTTACTATGATATGACAGATCACACAGTTCAAAGGCAGTGTTTCTCATTTGATTTTCAATCTAGTTTGATGTGTGAGATCATTTGGGAAATATGTCAATCTAGTTTGATGTGTGAGATCATTTGAGAGCATATGTCAATCTAGTTTGAGAGAGCATTTGTCAATCATCATATGTCAATCTAGTTTGATGTGTGAGATCATTTGAGAGCATATGTCAATCTAGTTTGATGTGTGAGATCATTTGAGAGCATATGTCAATCTAGTTTGAAGTGTGAGTCAGATCATTTGAGAGCATATGTCAATCTAGTTTGATGTGTGAGAGTTCAGTCAAGCATTGGAAATCTATGTTAAGAAGTACCATTTATGTGCTCTTTTTTTTCACTCCGTAGGCTAGATCTCTTCAGGGTTCTGAGTGAAAATGGCAAGAATCTACATGATTTTGAAGACGAGACTGGTAGGTTGTTGATATGGCTTTCTCAGTGATGTCATATGCTATGCATTTGTGATATTGTACATGACCTTTTCATCTGACCCAATTTTGCATGTAAAGTGGCCTTCACGTGGCAAACTAAAGTTTGACAACACATGTTGCCAAACTCAAGTTTGAAAGTGTGAACATTCCATCAACTCGACACCAACACCAATTTCAGAGTTGTCAAACTGTTGTCGAAAAATAGGATTGGTCTCTATTCTCACCAACATTTCCATCAAACTTTTGGTGTTGTCAAACTAGAGACATGGCGCTCAAATGACACGAAAGTTTGACATGTGTTTGACGTGTGAAAATACGAGTTTGACAACTTTTAAAATTTAAAAAACATGTGTTGTCAAACTTTAGTTTGCTGTGTGAAGGCCACCTAAGTGTATATCATACCATTTAGGTTTTTACAACAGTTGAAATTACAATAGTTGAAGCCCTGAAAATGCTACTAAAACAGTAAAAGGATGAATTCTGTGGAGCACCATATTTGTCTGTCTGAACACCCAGGACAGTTAGGAAAATGTTTTCAAACCATGTGGAAATGTGAGTGTTTGACTGAGAATTACTCTGTTTAACCCTTCAAATCATATTAAAGCCAAAGGCAGAGCTGAAGTGTAAATGTGTCTGAAGATACAGCTGACATGATTATGATCAATAATGAGCATCAACATAAGGTTATACTCTGAACAAATTGAAAATGATATGTGGAATGACTATATATTTATGAATGAAAAAAGATGACAGGGAAGTGAAAGAACATGTAAACCTGACTGGATGCACTGTCAAAGGTCAACCTTCCTGTGTGAAATAATATATAACTTCCTGACTAGCTTATTGGGAACTGGGCTAATCTGTGAAGGTTCTGGTGTCAGGTTAATCACTGATAAATGCAGGGCTGAAGAATGAAATACGAATGAATTTGTCATTGCAAATTCAGGTGATAGGAAAAGAACGTGACTGATGAATCATGGACATTCTACTTCTATGGAATTCTGTAATTAAGTTGAAATAAAACAGCTAAATTCGTATAAAAGATTGATTCAAGTTGTACCCCCTGAACGACCCCATTGGCTCTGCCAACGCAAAAAAAAAATATCTTCAATGTGGTCTTGTCATTTTTAGGGGGGAGGGGGGTTAACCCTTTGTGCATGCACACACACGCACACACACCCTCCCCTCCCCTTTCTGGAACCACCAATGGTCAATAGCTTGCTCAGAAATCACTGCAGTTAACAAAACTCAGCGCCAAATTAGGTGGAAACCCAAGTTGATAAAACTGTACTGTGGCTGTGACATTTCTTGTTATGTTGGTGCAGGTCCTTTCCTGTTGAAGTGGATGTCAGAGGTGATATCAGCTGGATACATCAGCAACTTCCTGTCTCTGCTCATCAATGTCATCAAATACAATGCAGCCTACTTGTATGAGGATGAAGTGGCCGGTCTTGTCCAGTAAGTCACTAGTGGGTCACAGCAGACATCTAAACACCAGGCCTTGTGGTGGAGCAAGACATGGACTTTGGGTCTGTTTTTTCCCCTTGGCTATGTCACAACTCTGTTACAGTGGATCCATCTTCTTTTTAGATTAGCTTGTCTTCTGCCACCATGGTTTGAATTACATGCTGTAATTCAACACTTTTGTCATCTTTACTACTACTTTACTAATTGAAGATTTCAACAAAGACAGAAAACAGCCCAACGACTAACATGGAGTTTCCCTTGACCTACCTGGTAGGTAGACCAGGCCAGAACACTACATCATTTTGAACACTTCAACCTGTAGGCTGTTTCAGTTCCCATTTCCCTATTTTGTAGGGATGCATGATGGCAGGTCGTATCATTGCCTCGTTCCAGCACCGTGCATCAAGCACATACATTTCAGTGTCTCTTATAACACATTTGATGTGTCCTACTTTGGTGACTGTGGCTCATCATTTATCTCACAACAAGATTATTCTAGCTGCAAACAGTGACTGTGGTCCCATAACATCATCACTCAACAACTCCATTAAGATGCCTAGCTATAAATATCTCCCTGTCCACTTTCCGTAGACTTTGTTGAAGGCTCTCAAGGTAGGTAACAGCATACATACGTTTGGTAAGAGATCATCCTCTGTTCTGTTGACACTGCCATAGGTTGTTTGTGCCTGCCTCTCTCCCTCTTGTGGGTGAATCAGGCATCCGTGCTGCTGCTAGATGGATGTTGATGACACTATGTAGATGCAAGTTGTTCATCAGTTACAGTTTACTGCCAAACAACTTGAGATAAAGAACTTGATGTTTCCTCCAGACTTCAGCATGCTTCATTGTGAAAGTCCTAATTTCATCCCTGTCAAGCCACAGGTCAAGGTCACACCACTTGATATCAGTGCTAGTTCCATGCCATCAAGCTTCAGTAAGCCCACTGCAGCAAATGGACACCAGTCCCATGGTTTCACCTCCAAATGCAGGACTTTCAATTTCTGCACGGTTTGGACCTTCTGACACCCACCTTGGTAGATTGAAGATTCAGACCATTACATTTGTTGGATCTCTTGTGAAAGAGACTGTCTGACATAGTTGCCACTTGTATTCCTTTATCCGTCATCAATCCTCCAAGGTGCCATACAGATGCTGGTGAAAAAGATTGCCATGTTTGTCACGTATGCTGTTGTCCCAGAGGTCTAAGAGTTATTTAATTCAAGCTGACTCAGCAGCCATGCTTACTCAACACTTTTAGTCATGTAAGGTCATGTAACTGACATGACCGAGGACTCATGCTTTGTGCAGGTCAGGTGTTTAAAGTTGCAAGTCACTTTTTGTGTTGAAAAAGAAACAAAATGCTTAGTATGAGGCACAAAAAGTATTAAAATTTGATTTAGCATAATATTAATAATATTTTCATATCAATGAATATATCATTCACATATATCATTACCACACTGAAGATTTGTTTACAAGATAGATCACAACAATTTTACTTTTGTAAATCTTGATTCCAGACAGACCTGTATGATTCCCAACAGCACTCGTCTTGATGAAGAACATAATCTAAAGGTACTGTCTTGTTTGAGCAAAGATTTGTCTGGGATGTTTAACATGTCTTGGCATGTGGAAAGTACTGCGCTGTCCAACATTTAGAGTCTTTGGAAAAGTCCTTATGAACTATGTATTAAAGTGAATACATGACACATTTTATGGATAACAACTTCTTATTTATTCTTTACACGATGTTTCAGACCTAATTCTTGCTCCTTCATCAGGCGAATGACCTGATGAAGGAGCAAGAATTAGCTCTGAAATGTCCTGTAAAGAATAAATAAGAAGTTGTTATCCATAAAATGTGTCATGTATTCCTGTTCATCTTCTAAATGCCTTTCAAAACCTTCATATGTTGTAAATTACGTAGTCAAGGGACAACAGAGCACTTTTCTGTAGTTTTTTTACAGTTTTATTCCCAAGAGTTTATAATCCCCAATATATACAAATATATTTACAGAAATTATGATGTGTCCAATTATGACACAATATGTGTCTCCAAATATTGACACTATAAGAGAGTGTCCAGATATGACACTATAAGAGTGTGTCCAAATATGACACTGTTTAATGGCGTGTTCACAAATATGAACTTTACAAAGGCGTGTCCAAATACGACACTACACAAAGGAGACACCAAATGTGTGATCTCTAATGCGTTCAATGAATTCTTCAATAACTATCAAATTTCAAGTTTCTCAAATAATGTCTACAAATTAGACACACAATATTCAAAAGTTACTTCAAATTCATATATCAGAAAGACACACAAGGAGACGGTCACCAAAGTATGACTGCTCTCATACAAGTCAAGAACCGAAGTGTAGCAACCACGTGCTAATCTGCACGGGATGCAGCAGCAAAAATGTCAATTTCAAAGGCGCGTTCGCTCGAACGTTTTAGAATGTCCATGAATGGGAGGTGTTCGGGCGAGTCCTTCTGTCCAATATGTATTTAAGTACTGTCAGAAATAGAAAAAAAACTATTTTTCCTTATCCTGACTCATGATAATTATGCTTGTCTCCTTCCTCTTGCGAATGATAGTGGAACACTTGAAATCCCTTGAAGTTCCCTTTTAAAAAAAGCGGACGTAAAATCACTCACTCAAGAGTAGCGTCTCTTTCCTTCCTTTGGCGCCCAAATGGTCACATGATCGGCCATATTTGTCACTCTCTCCTTCTTCGCCCTTGAAGACGGTTGTGAGAGCACCTGGGTCCCTATATGACACATATCCTTTTATATTTTCGGACCTTACATCCAAATTATTGCTGTATATGTTTTTTAGGATTATATTCTACATTACGGTTGGAAATTTGATTTAAATTTTCCGGTGTTTGACATGTGTTTTCTTCATGTTTACATTTGATGAAAACTTGTATTCGTTGCAGGTACCGAGTGTTTGCGGCTGACCCTCATTTATTATGTCCTGATTGCACTGTTTCATGTTCTGTCAGCTCTCGCTGTATGTCTTGTGTAAATTTAAATTTGGTTGAATTTAATAATTACCTTTATTCCATCCATAGACGTGCTAAGGACTGGGTACGTAGGTATTCACAAGTCATATCTAAATCGAGTGATTGCGCTGATAACCGTGTGTTAACCACTGCTGCAGATATTCCTAATTCTAGTGAATTGCTGAACGTTTCTCAGGAGCAGGTCGATGTACCAGGGGTGAATGCCGGAGGCCATAAGAGATCATCGTCTACTTAGCTGACCTCATCGCAGATGAAGAAGGCAAATCTTCATCTTCGCAGAAGAAGAAGGCTACTACCATGAAGACTTCAGCGAAATCTAAGATCAGCTCTACACAGAAGACGAGGTCTTTCTCAGCCGAGATTGTCCTACGGAAGAAACAGATGTTTATGATGATCCACCCATCCTCATACCTGAAGTCACCATCGTCAGTAAGAAGATGAAGCCTGCTTCTACAGCTACATCAACATTGGTATCAGCACAGACATTGACATAAGACCTGCTATCAACGCAGACGTCGGGTACCAGAGATAGCAGCAGCGTCAACTCTTCATGAGTGCAGCAAGCCTTAGATGACGTCTCTTCAGTATCAGATATGTCGATGATGGAACGTCGCTTTGCTCAGGAGAAGGCTGCTATGAAGACCGCTACAATGTCTACTAGCCTGCATGAAGGCTCTACAGTCTCCCCACCACATCTGGATGAAGAGGGAAGCCTGCGCGAAGGCTCATGGACACGACGATGTTCCCCATCTGAAGTAGACGCCCCGGAGAGTGCTGCTAAGAAGTCTCCACGCAGGAAGGAATCGAAGCGTTCTCCCGAACCCTACAGATGTCGCAGATATGAGTCGTCATCTCCATCAGACTCTGACGCCCATCACGAGCCTGCGCGAAGGCACTCCTACAGAGGGGGATGCTACATCCAGGAATCCACCTTCGCGAAGGCCTAGAGAATTATCTCAAACCTCCAGGAAGGATACACGATTGCATCAGGATCGCATGCCTGCTCCTTTTACAGCCCAGTTAGCAGGGTACAGCATGGTTTGATTATCTTCACGGATCATCGAGGACTTCCCCTGTCAGCAGATTTAATATTGGTTATCTGGGGACTTGCAGCGACAAGCGTGAGATGGTTTCTGCTCGCGGCAGCCGGTCGACTATAAATAGACTTCACATCGATGGCAGTCCCAGTACATCATAGCTTTTTGCTGACCTAGAGATGACGTATTATGCATCATCGCTGCACAATGTTCGGATTCTGGTGACAACATCTTCATTACATATTACCGGAAGATTAATGAGACAAACTTCAAGCCATGATTCCAGAATCGATCATCTCTCTGCTTCCATGTCGGACATGGCAAGGGCTCCTAGATCAACGTACGTGCAACGTACGACATGATTGCAGTAGATGGCTAGTAATCTCCTAATCGGAGTTGGAACCAAAACAGGATCTTCAATTTCTGGGAATATGGCTCATCACACCACAGAATCACACGGTCATCCCAGAGGATCGTTGGGTCAAGATACAACATATGATATCTCAAGCAATGCTCTCTCTGTTGACACTACGTGCTTGGCAAAGCATGCTTAGTCTACTCACCCTCAGCTCAAGACATGACTCGCAGAGGGAGATTACAGCTGCGCCCACTACAATATTTGTGAACGCCCATGTCGACAGTCTGGATCCGCTGATACTACCGGACAGCCTGAGACCATACCTCCTATGGTGGACTCAGAAGTCAAATGTTTGCGGAGGAACCTTTTTGTCACAGCCGGCTTGCAAAACTCATCTCTACATGGATACATCACTACAAGGATGGGGTGCTCACCTCGACAACGAAGTGGCAGCAGGAAAGTGGTCGAGTCAGGATCAATTCTGCACATCAGCCTGTTGGAGATGAAAGCAGTGATCAACGCTTTACAACACTTTTCCAGCGTACTAAGGAACGCAAGGCTCACGGTCCACACGGACAACTCCACAGTAGCGTTCTACATCAACAAACAAGGATCAACAAGGTCAACAAGTCTGCTAAAACTCAGCTTTCTCCTGTTCAGCATCATCGATGACCTGAACATCTACATAAAGGCATGTCACATTCCAGGAGTAAAGAATGTCATAGCAGACGCCCTATCTCGTCCACTACAACCATCCCTGACGGAATGGATGTTACATCCAGAAGTGTTCTGGTTCGTCATACAGACAGTAGGATCTCCGCTGATAGACCTGTTTGCAACAAAGTTCAACAAACAACTACCAACATTCGTCTCACAGATTCTGGATCCTCAGGCATGGGCAACAGATGCTTTAAGCATCTCATGGGAAGGACTAACGCTTACGCGTTTCCACCTCCAGCACTATTACCACAAGTAATACAGAAACTCAAGCAGACGACAACGTTGCAACTGATTTGGGTCTTGCTCTATTGGCCAGCGAGGGTATGGTTTCCCGTCTTCATACATGAACTCGGAAGTCCAACCCTGAAACTACCAGAGTGGTCGAACCTGCTCGTCCATCCACACACCAAGCAAGCTCACAGGAATCCGGCATTGTTCCAGCTACACGCGTGGAGCATATCTAAGCTTGCCTGAAGACTAGAGGGTACTCTGCCAGAGCAGCGAAAGCAGTGACACTATCTCTACGCAGATCAACTCGCAACTTGTACAATGACAAGTGGCAGAGATTTGAACAGTATGCAACGAGGAAAGGCTTTACAGTGGTAAAAGCAACCCATCCTCAAGTAGCGGAATACCTGTGTCATCTGCGACAGACGAGATCTTAAAAGGTTCAACACTCTCAACTTACTTAGCTGCCCTCGGTACAGTTATCACCATGAAAACGGGTATCAAGCTGACCAAAGTACCAGAGATTCAGGCACTACTACGCTCGTTCAAGTTGGAAGACCCTGCCTGGGATCTCAACATAGTATTACAACATCTCACCAGTGATGCCCACGAGCCTCTAGAATGGACATCCTTTGAACTACTAACTCAGAAAACGCTGTTCCTGATCGCCCTAGCAACAGCTGCAAGGATGTCAGAATTACATGCTCTGGACTTTGAACGAACACGATTTGAATCAAGACATTGTGACATCGTACATCTTGGACTGAGATGGGATTTTATCGCCAAGAACCAACTGCCTGGTCAGCCTGACAGACATTTCCACATCCCAGCACTATCTACAGTCCTTGGGCCACAGGATACGCAGGATCTATCCTTATGCCCAGTCAGAGCACTTAAAGTCAACTTACAGAGAACTAAAACAAGGAGACGAAAATTCAAGCGCCTATTTATCCTCTTATCCACCGCGACGCCCACGGAAGTCTCTCGGACAATGATACCAATCTGGATGAGAGCCGTTAAAGCAGCAGGACATGAGCCTCCACGAGCCTCCAATCCACATGAAGTCAGAGCCCTGGCGTCAACACTTGCTCTGCATGGAAACTGCTCGATTACAACTATAATGGAGGGCTGCTTTTGGAGATTGAACACGGTGTTTGCCAACCACTATCTCAGAGACATTGCCACCGAAGACGTCTCAGGCATTCACCAGTTTGGGCCACTTGTTGTAGAACAACAACTAACGGTTCCACAAAGGCGCTGAGTAAATCTCACCCCTTTTATCACGTGACTTGTGAAAACCAACACTTTGGAGAGCAGTGGCTTTAAGTCCATGCACACGTCTAGGACAGACTAGCATGAGTGATAGACCCTGTACTTGTATTGGACATACTTGTACATGAAGAAGGGTCGCATCTCCACTTGATGCGCGCATCAAGTGATGGAGTTGCAATAGATAACTAATGGAATAATGGAACTAATGGAAGTTGAAGAATCTTCACCAGTGTCGTCATAAGTTCCCAAGGGGGGTAGTACAGGACGTAAATATACAACCAGTGAATCCAGAAAGTGGCTTGACCCACCACCGTTTCCGACAGATTCTGCAAGCATAATTAACATGAGTCAGTATAAGGAAAAATATGTAATTTTCTGACTAAAATTGATATTTTATACTTATCCTGACTCATGAGGATAGCCCTCCCAACCTCCCCTCTTATGGCACTCTGGATTTCCCTGTAAATCTGGGTGTCGGGCTTACATATGGAGAGAGTGACAAATATGGCCGATCATGTGACCATTTAGGAGCCAAAGGGAGGAAAGGGACGCTACTCTTGGGTGAGTGATTTTACATCCGCTTTTTTAAAAGGGAACTTCAAGGGATTTCAAGTGTTCCACTATCATTCGCAAGAGGAAGGAGACAAGCATAATTATCATGAGTCTGGATAAGTATAAAATATCAATTTTAGTCAGAAAATTACGTTTTAGGCTGTTCCTCTGTATCCCTAAAATTTACACAATTGCAAATAGCATATGTCTAAATAACCCACATTGGCCTAACTGGGCAGAAAAGCATGTTTACTCATAAAATTGTGCATAACTTAGAAAAAATATGAATAGCTGCTGAAAACAATAGATCAGACTATAGATGGCAATTAGGTCGCTCAGCCAGGTATGATGATGGACTATCAATTCATCTGGCATGAAATGCTTGTGCTGCTCACAGGGGACATCTCAAAGATATTTTGTGCTTTTTCATGTATGTTGAATATGTCTCATCTATTGATTAACATCTTACGTAAAGTTTGTGTTGAGATATGTGAAAGATTATGATACCCATAGAAAAGCTTAAATCAGCCATCGTATTAAATGTCTCAAAATATATAGGTGGCATGACCACCCGAAGATTGACAGGACTGGATATTATTTGTAAATTGTTATGACATGCCGTTTACTTCCCCAGTTTGATTCCCGTAAAGGAGTATCATATCTTAGTTGCTATCTCTATCCCCCTTCCCAACCCCAACCATCGTCTGTGTGACACCCGTCCTGGTGTTGCTTTTGACACTACCCCTCCTACCTGTTTCTTTTTACGGTGACTCCATGGTAACTACATCCTTATAAAAGTTATTATTACTTTTTACGTCAACTATCGTTTATAATGAAGTTAAGTATAATTTTAAAATCGGCATATAAGAAGTGTCCTTTGTAATACAATATCATCGCTCACTAATTTGCATAAAGTCATGGTCTGTTCCAAATAAGTCGCTTTGGACTTAGGTAAAAAACACATTGCTTATTTCTTGACTAAATCTCTCCTCAGTAAAGTCAAGTTTTTCACATTTCCTATCTCCCTCCCACTGAGACTGTAGTTAGGCCTAACATAGTTTAACAGATATTTCACACTTTCATATATTAACTACATAAATCGTAGATACAAATGTGAAAAAACAGGGTTTTTTCTATTTCCGACAGTAGTTTAGTCTGCGACTGTATCAGTATTGTTATCAGTAGAAAACATTTGCAAAACTGAATCATTGAAATTAATCAAATTATTACTGAATGTGCAGATCCTCTTCAGTATTGATAAAAGAGAGTAAAACAGCCCATTAGCAATTCACCAATTCAGAATGTAACTGTTGTCTTTTTTTAGTCTTCCTCTTGCTTTGAATTGCATCTTCAGAGATACAGATAAGCTGCGTATCTGCGTAAATTATGCAAATATTTATGTGAAAACTCAAATTTTTAAACTTATCCTATCTCACAGTATGCACCTCTCTTCTTCTTCTACAACCATGTGTGGAAACGTGCTGTAGGCTAAGTTGAATCAAATCTTACTGGCCTCTGACCCACCCTGACCTCTGCCCCCACTCCGACATCAGCACCTGTCAATCATCTCCGTAAGCGTGCAGCTCGCTCAGATGATCATGTGACTACCTGTGCCTGTCATTCTCTTTCTTGTCGCTACGTTGTGTGGACGTGTGCTTGTCTCTAAGAAAGTTTGATTGTGTTTCTACAATGGGAAAATCGAATCGCAAACATTGCGATAAATGCAACTGTAACTTCTCGGCGGCAGACCCACATGCTTTATGTGTTGATTGTTTAGGACGGTGTGAGTGGTCTCAACGTTGCACTTTTTGTGCAGACCTCAACGATGATGCTTTTTCTGAATATCGCAGGGTAGCTTGTAGACGCGTGTCAGACAGGGATCGGTGTCTAAACGTTTTAAGACAGAACGCTGTAAGAAAACTGCAGTCCGACGTTCGAAGTCCCCGTCACCTGCTGAAGATTTCCAAGGGGAGGCGTCGGATTCTTACCTCAGTGAAAATTTACATCAACTTTTCCGGCCGCATGCGTCTAGCCCCATCATTTTAGAAGACTCTTCACCACCTAGGGTTGTCATGTTGTCTACGTCTTCTCTTCAAACCCGTCCCTCTTCGGTGATACCTATTCCTAAGTGCACTTCTGTTCCTGAGGTGGGGGTTTCTCGTGCGGCGCTTGGTGTGATTACATCTCAAGTAACGCTTCCTTGCAGTGCTGCGCTTTCCAGTTCGGCGCCTTGTGTGCCTCTGGTTCGGGGCTTCCTCCCGGTGTTGCCGGTTCGGCGCTTCCTCCCGGTGCTCCCAGTTCGGCGCTTACACATGCTGGCTTTGGTTCGGCGCTTGCTCCCGATGTTCCCGTTCCGGCGCTTTATCCCGGTGCTCCCGGTTCAGCGCTTAATCCCGGTGCCCCCGGTTCAGCGCTTATTCATGGAGGCTTTGGTTTGGCGCTTACTCACAGTATTCCCGGTTCGACGCTTGCTCCCGTGGCTCCTGGTTTGGCGCTTACTCACGGGGTTCGTGCTTCAGCGCTTACTCATAGTTTACTGGCTTCAAGGTTGACTCATGGGGCATTTGGTTCGACGCTTCCTCAGGGTTCAGCGCTCACCTCTCATGTGTCTAGTTCGGTGCTGGGTCCACTCAGCTCAGCTTTTGCTTCCAATGCCAGGGACCCTACGGGTTCATCGTTGCCTTATGGGGGGTGTGCCTCAGTCAGCTGGATGTCCGTCTGCTCGTCATCCGTTTCGTCGGTTCCTCCTACAACGGGATCGGTGGTGAGACCTATTTTACTGGAATCCGGTGTCGGAGGTTTCAACTTCTCAACCTGTGGATTTTGACGCCATTGTGCTAGCGGTAGCATCAGCATTACGGCATCAGGCGCCAGCAACTTCCGCTGCTGTTCAGTCATCGGGTTCTTCGACCAATCCAGTTCCACTTTTAGAGGAAGTTCGTCGTTCAGCGACGCCATCTCCTTCTTCTGATGGTACGGCACTGTCGGATGGTAGCATGGATGCTGTTGACACACCTCAACTACTCATCTGGATTGCCGATAGCCTCCGTTTACAGCGTAGTAGTTCTTCGGCGGATTTATTATCCTGTTTTGATATGAAGCCAGGTGATTTCGGTTCCATCACGTTCCCCGCCTCGACTGTGTATTACTCAATTGGCAGCATCTCTGGATGAGGCTTTTGGTAACCTGAGGAAGGTTAAGGATGGGTTCGCGGCTCCACGCTTGAATTTGGCATCTGCTCATGTGCATGGTTTCTTTACGCTGATCGTCTCCCCTCCGGTGGATGATGATATTACTTTGCTGGGAACTAAACAGAAAGCCTACTCGCCGTGCCTGGTGGAGGATCGTGAGCTTTAGCATCTGGATGGTGTCATAAGGAAGATTATGGCGCCACTCAACATGGTGTTGACGACTACTGAAGCGGTGGCTATGCCGGTTGCACATGCTACGTCCCATCAACAAGCGTATATTCCAGCGACTATGGTCTTATTGCAAGAGCAATTTCAGACCATTCTCGATCAGTTGGCTCACTTCTTTTCGTATGTCACAGCTGTGTGTCGCAGGAGGCCTTTGCACTTATCCTCATGGGAGGATAGGTTCCGTACTGATCTCTTTCGGCAGCCGTGGTCTGGCAGGTCTCTTTTCAACGGGGCGATTAGAGATGTCGCCAACAGAGTTGGTCAAGATGCTCATTTACAAGTGTCAGTGGAATTGTTGAAATTCCAACGTTTGCAGGTGGAGGAATCGTTGCGTCGGCGACGACCAGCCCAGTATGTTCCTGTCAATCCGGACCTGCGTGCGGGTTCTACTGCTTCCTTTCGTGGCAAGGGATCCTTTGGCAGAGGACGGTCCAGCCATCAACATCGGGCATTCACAACCAGCTTCCACTGACGACCAGTCCACTTCGCAAAGGCCTGACAAACAGTGACCTGATGACATTAGAACACGACTGGGTTCTTCCACCTCCAGTTGTGCCCTTTCTGACTTCGCCAGTAGACGGCCGGCTTGGGACCTATGCTCCCAACTGGATCATCTTGAGAGACCCTTACGTCCTCTCCATGTTATCCACGGGGTTTCAGCTGCCAATCATCGGGGATCCTCCTCTCACTTTACTTCCGGATCGCAGAATGTATCCCGCTCAGCAGACGGCTGTTCTTCGATCCACAATAGACACCTTACTCAAGAAACTTGCGATCGAATCCCTGGGTCAGGCTCCGACCCTCCCGGGGTTCTATTCTCCAATCTTTCTGGTCCCCAAGAAGGATTCGGACAAACTGAGGTTAATCTTCAACATGAAGATATTCAACGAGAGGTTTCTGCAGCCTCCGCCCCACTTTTCGCATGGTATTGGTGGCACTCCTTAAGACCATTATCAAGCCGGGAGACTACATGGTCAGTTTGGATGTCCAGGATGCGTACCTGCACATTCCGATCTTCCCGGCTCATTGCAAGTTCCTTCGGTTTGTCTTCGAGGGCACCCACTATCAGTGGCGTGTCCTCCCGTTTGGAATTTCTTCAGCCCCGTGGCTGTTTACACGGGTAACGAAGCCTATCACCAGTTTCCTTCACCGCAAGGGAATAGTGTTTAGAGGCTTACATTGATGACTGCATTCAGTCGCAGACCAATCATGCCCTTCTGCTTCGCCACATGCAGTTTGCGGTACAGCTTCTTCGCCAATTAGGCTGGTTAATCAATCTGCAGAAATCGGAACTAGTCCCTTCACGCCGTCTTCAATTCATTGGAGCAGTGTTCGACACAGAGGTCAACAAACTCTTTGTCCCGAGGGATCGTTTCTGCAAGATACAGCAATTGGTCTCTCTGGCACTGGCGCAACCCAGGACTCTTCATCAGTGGCAGGAGCTCCTGGGCCTCTTGACCCAGCTCAGGTGGTGACCCTCAGGGGTCAACTACAACTTGTTCTTGCAGTTTTTCTAGAGTTACATCAGAGTGGGAGATTTGTTCTTGATCACTCTACCTCTGGAGCTCCATCCCCACCTGTGGAAGAATGAATGGACGGAGTTTGTTTAGGGCCGTTTGTTCCGCCTCACCACCTGTATGGGGAGCTCATCACTTCGGGTGGGGAGCTCATCTTCTCAATCAACAAGTGGCAGGGCTGTGGTCTCTCATCGATCGCGCCTGTCACATCAACGTTCTGGAGTTCAAGGCGGTGATTCTTGCAATCAGTCACTGGCAGGATGTCCTACGAGCAACTTCCCTCATGATCCGATCGGACAACGCAGCGGTGGTTTGGCATATCAACAGAATGGGGTCCACGGGGTCTACTCAACTGCTACAGTGGACCAAACAGTTCTTCGATCTGGTGGACTCTCTCAACATCTTAGTCCGAGCCAACCACATTCAGGGGGTGAAGAATGTCATCGCAGATTCTCTGTCCCGGCCGAGTCGTCCCTCTCCAACGGAATGGAGATGACATCCTCAGGTGTTCCAGACCCTTTGTCTTCCGTTGACGACTCCGACAGTAGATCTCTTCGCCACCCGATTCAACCATCAGCTGCCTCGGTTTGTGTCACTGAGCCCGGACCCTCTGGCTTGGGACCTCGATGTTCTAGCCATTCCGTGGGAGGACCTGAACGCTTATGCGTTTCCGCCAGTGGCCCTTCTTCCTTGCATATTAGTGAAACTGCACGCAACTCAGAGGATAACTCTGCTTTTAGTCGCGCCCTCTTGGCCGGCCAGATGTTGGTTCGTAAACCTTCAAGACCTAGCCGAACCAGATCCCGTACCACTTCCCGTTCGACCCGATCTCCTGATACATCCGCACTCCGACCAGCTACATTGGTCCCCGTTGACGCTCCATCTGCACGCTTGGCGCATCTACATCGGTCGTTAATGGCAAAGGGCTATTATAAACGGGTGGCTACTGCCATTTCCACAGCGCATCATACTTCTACGAGGTCACTCTACGATGACAAATGGAAGAATTTTGAAGCGTATTGCAGGAAGAAGGGCGTCTCATCCCCCACTACGGCCTCCCCGCAGATGGTGGCAGAGTACCTTCAACATCTACGAACCTCCAGAAAACTCAAAGGTTCTACACTATCTACCTACCTGGCTGCTCTTAACACCATTATTGCAGCGGCCTCAGGTGTGAAGGTGTCCACTGTCCCTGAACTCCAGTCTCTCCTCCGGTCTTACAAACTGGCTGACCAATCTCGGAAGTTCCGGCCTCCAGCTTGGGATCTTTCCATTGTACTTGCTCATCTCACGTCAGCTGATTACGAACCTTTGGAGGAGAAAGATTTTGAACATGTCTCCTTTAAGACCTTCTTTCTCTTGGCCTTGGCTACAGCTGCCCGTATTTCCGAGTTGCATGCTCTTGATGTTTCTCGGGTGCGGTTTGAAAGGTCTAGACATGCGCGAGTTTTCCTTGGTTTGCGATGGGATTTTCTCGCCAAGAATCAGTTACCAGGACAGCCAGATCGCACATTCACGATTCCGCCGTTGTCCGCTATCTTGGGCCAAGATGACACTGAGGATCTGTCCTTATGCCCGGGTGCGTGCATTAAGGATTTACCTAGCTGCCTCACAGGATCTTCGCAGAGAGATTGTTCATTCCATTGTCTACTGCCTCCACCTCGGAAGTCTCCCATACTACCTTGGCGTTTTGGATGTGAACTACGATCCTGCGCGCTTATGCCTTTTCTGACCTACCTCCGCTGTCGACAGCGAAGCCTCATGAGACTCGAGCTCTTGCCTCCACCATGGCTCTTCACAGAAATTGTTCCCTGCAGTCCATCATGGAGGGCTGTTTTTGGAGATCCGATACGGTGTTTGCTTCACACTACCTGAGGGACCTATCGGTTACAGACGTGGAAGGTCTACATCAATTCGGCCCCTTGGTCCTGGTGCAGCAATTGTCATCGGCCCGTGGTCACAGATAAAGCAATCCTTCTTTGGTCGGTGTTGCTCTGTACATAATAAAAGATATCCATGTTATCAATGTCTTGGTACTTTTTTCCATTGGGATTAGATTATTCTCACCTATGGGAATAGGGCGTGTCTGCACTGTCATAAGTTATGACTTAATAGACTGTGAGGCCAGACTTGTGCTACATGCAGAGATGATCGACACTCCGCTTACTGACCTCTACTTTCCGAGCAATTACATCAGTAAAGTGTTGATTTCCGATTACCTACATAGTTTTGAAGCGTTCTGCTCCTAAGTCCTTTCTCACCTTGGTAAGTTAGGGAGATTGGTACTGAACGTTAAACTAGTTGAGCAACCGAGCTATTCCCTCTTTCACCGCCTTCCAGCGTGTGTCTGTGGGGGGTAGTTTCGAAGCAGGGACTGGTCAGATTAAGGTTTTCAACTTTAATTCACTGGGGTCACCTGATAAATCGCGTGGGGCGGCGGGGCCTACTTGCCAAACTGCGTCCTTTTGCTTGTCAAAATTTGCGGCTGAAAACCACATTAATTCGGGAGCCCTCACTCCCTAGAGTTTTTGTGCTGTGTAAGCCAAGGGGTTACAAGAAACCCATCTCAAGTTTGGAGTCTGCATATCGGGAGTTGGTGCTTTCTCCTGGCCTCCTTGGGGTTATGCGTCTTCCCGGTTGTACGTATTGATGGGGTAATCTGCAGCCCTCCTACCAACCGTGGGATTGTGCATACCCAGAGATGGGATAAGTTTAAAAATTTATAAATTTTATAATAAATTGTATATTTATATACTTTTCCTATCTCACGCGATGGATACCCACCCGACCTGCCCCACATCACAGATTACTGGAAGCTCCAAGACGAGAATGACAGGCACAGGTAGTCACATGATCATCTGAGCGAGCTGCACGCTTACGGAGATGATTGACAGGTGCTGATGTCGGAGTGGGGGCAGAGGTCAGGGCGGGTCAGAGGCCAGTAAGATTTGATTCAACTTAGCCTACAGCACGTTTCCACACATGGTCGTAGAAGAAGAAGAGAGGTGCATACCGTGAGATAGGATAAGGATATAAATATACAATTTATTATAAAATTTACAATTCCTATTAAGTCTATTGTGTACAAGTACACTTGAAGTTTTGAAAATTCGCAATAAGTTTGATGTTACATGCGTACACACAAAAGTGTCAAATCTTAGCTTGCATATCGGTGGATAGATAAAATAACTGAGGTATATTAAAAGGTTCTGTTTCAGGACATGAACTTGGCAACTTGCAGTCTTTCTTATTGTTTTCTCATATTACAGATCAAATATAAATAACAAACACTAGCATTTAAACTTTATTATATTTTAACAATTAATGAAAAATGACAAAATACTCAATTGAGTTTGAGTGAGGTGGGTACAATTTTTTTCGTTACTCAAAGGAAAATTAGGATACCCTATTGAGATGACCACAAGTGAGTACATAACTCAATGATCCCAAAAGTTATCTGCTGCTCTGGCATCTTGATCACAGTTAGGTTTTGCTAGCTCTGAGATGTCCCACCAACCTTTTTGTTTTGCATGTGTATAGTGGAAGGATAAATAATGACTTCCAGACTATCTGTTTGCCCAGAGAAAATACAAGTTGTGACATATATTCCATATATATTTCCAGTTGTGTCTGGCTGTTCTTGATTCGGTGGTCAGCTACAGCTATCTACCCACCTCAGCTCTCTACCACTTTGTAGCTGCTCTGTGCCACATGGTCAACAAACCCAAGTTCTGTGATGACAGCTGGGAGGTAAATACAGATCATCCTTGGCTTCAACCAAATACATCACACAGGGGTAGCATTAGGGAACAAGGGAGAGAGTAGACAGGCTTAGATGAAGTACACAGTACACATTAGGGCTAGATCTGTCACAGTGCTGTAAGGGATGGGGTGTGGTTAGATCTGTCACAGTGCACCACTGTAAGGGATGGGTGTGGCTAGATCTGTCACAGTGCTGTATAATGTGTGTGACAGGATGCGATAGACATTTTACATGTATGCCACCACGAATGCTTGTATACTGCTTCACATGCATGTCAAATGAAACTGCTTTCATTCATGCAGTGAGTTTGATTAATGATTTTAGCAACAAAATTACCCACAGAAGAGTTCAGGAAATCACAGGAACTGGTGGGAATCCTATCCGATAATGTGTCAAATACATAGTATGAAGATGAAGGCGAAAGTGGAAAATAAATGCATACAAGCCATGGCAATGATGGCACAGCTCTATGCTGGTTCAAGTCTTATCTGTCGTCCCGTCACCAGCATGTACTGATAGAGGATCATTACTCTTATCCAGCTCATTTATTTTGTGGTGTCCCACAAGGATCGGTCTTAGGTCCGGTCTTGTTCAGTCTTTACATCAAAGATCTTGGGAAAATCATGGAAGCCCACCATGTTGATCGCCATCACTTGCTGATGATTCCTAAAATGTACAAAGTCTTCTTACCCACTATGGATAAAGCAACACCCGCCTTGAACGACCTACAACAGTGCTGTGAGGAAACAAAGAGCTGGATGTTTGACTACATGCTGAAATTGAACAGCTCTAAAGACAGAGTGCATTCTACTGGGTCCTGCAAAAGCGTTGCTCCCAGTGCTCATTTAATGCTCTTGATTTTGATGGAGAAAGTATTCCATTCTCACAGAAAGTAATAGATCTTGGTGTCATCCTTGACTCTGACCTCTCTTTGGATGATCACATACCACATCTCTCTAGGATCTGTTTTGCAGCTCTACGCATAATATCAGTTCCATTAGGCAATACCTGACTATAGATTCGGCAAATACTCTCACCTTATGCCATGTAATGACCTGCCTGGACTATTGTAACTCTCTCCTAGCCGGTGCAAACAAATCACAAATCCAGAGACTTCAACGAATCCAAAATGCTGCGGCACGTGTCGTGACTAGATCGAAGAAGTTTGACCACAGCTCTCCCATTCTTCAATCTCTTCATTGGCTTCCAATCGAGAACCGGATCCGCTTTAAACTCCTCTGCCTCACCTACCGCTGCCTGTCTGGATGAGCTCCTGCTTATCTCTCCAATCTTCTTATGCCATAAAACCAGCTAGATCCCTTCGTTCTCAGGACAAAAACCTTCTGCTTGTTCCCAGAGCAAACAGTGTTCACTACTGCAGCAGATCATTCGCCTACGCAGCTTCAACAGCCTGGAATGATCTTCCCTTCTCTCTCCGGAACACCAGTGACTTCTCTAACTGAAACTCACCTTTTCCTGATGTCTTTCCAACTTTGCTGAACTCTGAGCATACTTCAGTATGGATATATGCACGTTAGATAAGCCCTATTATTTCTATTATTATTATAATGTGTCAAATACATAGTATGAAGATGAAGGCGAAAGTGGAAAATAAATGCATACAAGCCATGTGCTATGACTGAAGGATCAAGGCTGTACTAAAAGACTTTGCAATCACATATTTGGTTTTAGGAATCTTTGTGCCGGAGGATTTTGTTAGTTGATACACTGCTTGTACTTTTTTATTCAAATGGTGCAGTGTGTGTGTACCAGGAGAGGTCATCAGTGGCGGTATATACGTAGCACTGGTGTAAGTTTGTTTCTATTCACAGGCCAAGGTTTATCATTTGAGCTTTGTATCATATGTCAGGAAACCAGTCAGTCTAAACATACCCTCTACAACCAGACAGAACTGGGCATCTAATCCATTCTGGAGGCCACCCAGTTGAAGCATAAATTGAAACATTGCAAGGTTCGGTCATCTGTAGACAGGCTTTCGTTCCTCTTCGAAGAATCACCTGACGGCAACCCTAATCTAAAATGGCACAAACTCTGTTATTTAGCATACACACATTAGGGAAAAATAAATGTAAGGCTTGCCAAGGAACAGTCCAATGATTCACAAGGCAATGAAGAGACTGGTGTTTCAGATGAAGGATACCGCTTTTTACGCAGGGGTACTTCAACAGTGAACTTGACGTTGTGTATTTTCTGTCACAGCTCCGAAAGCAAGCAGAAGCCGAGCCATGTTTCTATCATAATAATTCATTCTAAAGTGTGCACAAATGCAAAATATGCACACAAGGTCTTTGAACGTATTATAGACGTGATTGATTTAATAGCAGCCGAATCATGCTATCACATCTAAGTTAATTTCTGTGGGATGCCAAAAGGGCAGAAACTGACAGCAAATGAGCTGATATGGCCATGGCTTGGTTGTGTCAGGAGTTATGTCACCGTGCAGAGAATGGACACATATTTGAATTGTCTGCTGTGTTCATGAGGTACAAAGAATTAGCCAATGATCATCATATCATCCCATCATCATATTTCAGTAGACAGGGGACTTCAAGGGACCTTTATCAAAGTGCATTGGGGTCACTTATGAATTGGTTGTTCATGTCACTGGAGCACGTTGCTCTGAGACTCTGCAGTGATATGTCAGATCCGGGATTCAAATGTTGTGAAGTAGAGTTGGCCAGTGTACCTCCTTCTGAAGAACTTGAAATAGGCGTGTATCTGATGTTGAACGGATCAGGAACACAGGTGTTCTTAGTATGGGGCAAGACATGGTCTACAGTGTTTGCGGGGACAAGGAAGCACCACCTAAACATGTTGGTATGGGTATGACCCTTCACCAATCAACATGCACAGTCAAGAAAACTAGTTGAGCTGTACCATATAGAATGCTTGGCACATCATCAGTTACACCCGGGTTCTCCAAGCACTAGATCCACAAACTGGGGCAGTGTTTTCAAGGAACTTGGTCTTTGGGAGATTTTCATTTTCATTTTTCTTGGGGACAGGACACACTTTTTGTGAGAACATCAAACAAGATGGACTTGGTTCCTTGGTGCGAAGTGCCCTGTACTTCTAACCCTTGTGTTCTTAACCCGTTCAACATCAGATGCGCCTATTTCACCTTCTTCAAACTCATTATAAACATGACTTTGGCCACCAAGCAAGGTGTTCAGAAGCATGTACACTGGCCTACTCTGCTTCTTCACTCACGTCACAACATGTGTCATGATATCACTGTGGAGTCTCAAAGCAACGTGCACCTGGGACAAGAGTCCACAATGCACTTGTTTCCTTTATCAAATGATAGGATGATAGAGTCACTGGCTAATTCTGTGTACCTCATGAACACAGCAGACAATTTAAATTCGTGTCCATTCTCTGCATTGTGACGTACCTCCTAACACAACCAAGCCATGGCTATATCAGCTCATTTGCTGTCAGTTTCTGCCCTTTTGGCATCCCACATAAATTTACTTAGACAGTCAATATGATAGCATGCTTCGGCTGCTATTAAATCATTCATGTCTACAATACGTACAAAGGCCTTGTGTACATAATTTGCATTTGTGTACAAATCCACTGTTGAAGTACCCCTGCGTAAAAAGCGGTATCCTTCATCTGAAACACCAGTCTCTTCATTGCCTTGTGAATCATTGGACTGTTCCTTGGCAAGCCTTACATTTATTTTTCCCTAATGTGTGTATGCTAAATAACAGAGTTTGTGCCATTTTAGATTAGGGTTGCCGTCAGGTGATTCTTCAAAGAGGAACGAAAGCCTGTCTACAGATGACCGAACCTTGCAATGTTTCAATTTATGCTTCAACTGGGTGGCCTCCAGAATGGATTAGATGCCCAGTTCTGTCTGGTTGTAGAGGGTATGTTTAGACTGACTGGTTTCCTGACATATGATACAAAGCTCAAATGATAAACCTTGGCCTGTGAATAGAAACAAACTTACACCAGTGCTACGTATATACCGCCACTGATGACCTCTCCTGGTACACACACACTGCACCTTTTGAATAAAAAAGTACCAGTGCAGTGCTTCAACTAACAAAATCCTCCGGCACAAAGATTCCTAAAACCAAACATGTGATAGCAAAGACTTTTAGTACAGCCTCGATCCTTCAGTCATAGCACATAACATGGCTTGTATGCATTTATTTTCCACTTTCGCCTTCATCTTCATACTATGTATTGACACATTATCTGATAGGATTCCCACCTGTTCCTGTGATTTCCTGAACTCTTCTGTGGGTAATTATGTTGCTAAAATCATTAATCAAACTCACTGCATGAATGAAAGCAGTTTCATCTGACATGCATGTGAAGCAGTATAAAAGCATTCGTGTGGCATACATTAACCCTTGAAGTAATTATGCGCCTAATATGCGATTTTTGTGACCTAAACAGTTTGCCTGGAATATAATTCTGTCAACAAAAGGAAAAGATTCAGCCTTGCTTTGCATTTTGAGCAAAAATGCTTGTAAAAAGTAGCGCTTCACCCAAAACCTTAAAGTCTCTCCATAAGGGAGATATTTGCAAAAATACGAAATTTTTCCTTCAGCATTTCCATGAAATCCAACATTTTGAAATCCAGTGGTACCATTATTAATCAATATATTGTAAACTGAGTTCATTGTATGGATGGAGAATGATAAATAAAACACTGTTTAAAAAATTTGAATTTTGCACTCATTGACCTTTGAACCCAATTTGTGACCTAATTAGGCATTTTTGAGCTTAGCAAACAACAGATTCGTATTCAGCATGAAAAACTACCCCAGAAAATGTTGTTTGCTTGCTTTTACTCAAAAATGCCTCATGCATTCACATTTCTGAGAAATTTGACTAGTCTAGTAAGGGATGGGTGTGGCTAGATCTGTCACAGTGCTGTAAGGGATGGGTGTGGCTAGATCTGTCACAGTGCTGTAAGGGATGGGTGTGGCTAGATCTGGCACAGTGCTGTAAGGGATGGGTGTGGCTAGATCTGGCACAGTGCTGTAAGGGATGGGTGTGGCTAGATCTGTCACAGTGCTGTAAGGGATGGGTGTGGTTAGATCTGGCACAGTGCTGTAAGGGATGGGTGTGGTTAGATCTGTCACAGTGCTGTAAGGGATGGGTGTGGCTAGATCTGGCACTGGGTTGTAAGGGATGGGTGTGGTTAGATCTGGCACAGTGCTGTAAGGGATGGGTGTTGTTAGATCTGGCACAGTGCTGTAAGGGATGGGTGTGGTTAGATCTGGCACAGTGCTGTAATGGATGGGTGTGGTTAGATCTGGCACAGTGCTGTAATGGATGGGTGTGGTAAGATCTGGCACAGTGCTGTAAGGGATGGGTGTGGCTAGATCTGGCACAGTGCTGTAAGGGATGGGTGTGGCTAGATCTGGCACAGTGCTGTAAGGGATGGGTGTGGTTAGATCTGGCACTGGGCTGTAAGGGATGGGTGTGGCTAGATCTGGCACAGTGCTGTAAGGGATGGATGAGGAAAGATCAGACACACAGTGCTGTAAGGTATGGATGAGGAAAGATCAGACACAGTGCTGTAAGGGATGGATGGGGCAAGATCAGACACAGTGCTGTAAGGGATGGATGGGGCAAGATCAGGTACAGTGCTGTAAGGGATGGATGGGGCAAAGATCAGACACACAGTGCTGTAAGGGATGGATGTGGCAAGATCAGACACACAGTGCTGTAAGGGATGGATGGGGCAAGATCAGGCACAGTGCTGTAAGGTATGGATAGGGCAAGATCAGGCACACAGTGATGTAAGGGATGGATGGGGCAAGATCAGGCACAGTGCTGTAAGGGATGGATGGGGCAAGATCAGGCACAGTGCTGTAAGGTATGGATGGGGCAAGATCGGACACACAGTGATGTAAGGGATGGATGGGGCAAGATCAGGCACACAGTGCTGTAAGGTATGGATGGGGCAAGATCAGACACACAGTGATGTAAGGGATGGATGGGGCAAAAACAGGCACAGTGCTGTAAGGGATGGATGGGGCAAGATCAGGCACAGTGCTGTAAGGAATGGATGGGGCAAGATCAGACACACAGTGCTGTAAGGGATGGATGGGGCAAGATCAGGTACAGTGCTGTAAGGGATGGATGGGGCTGCACATTCTTTTAGGGGCTGGACAGGGTCAGATTGGGGCTAGGTTATCCACTTAGGCAGGAAATAGAGAGGGTTGTGCTAAACAGCTCTGACCTAGATGATGTTAGAATGGTAAATAACGGTAACAATGGCAGGGACTGGAATAGACTGTTGCACATATATTTCAGCTTATGCGGAAACTGCTGGGGACTCATCTGGGGCACAGTGCAGTCTACACCATGTGTTGTATGCTACAGGACAGGTTAGTGTTCCCTTGTTTCAACTTTCAGCAAGTGATGAATTTTCGCTTTTATTCTTTTCAATTATATGTCAAGTGTTTAATGAGAGAGATGCTGAACTGATGGGATGTATCTTCATAAAAACTCTGGAAACACGATTGGCTCAAATATATTTGACTTCCTAGAGGATGGTGTTTGTTTATTAGGCTCCAACACTGTCTGACCAATGCTATGCCAGTTTGTAATGGTATGTAATGTGTGATGTGTTTCAGCAAGCTCCTGGCAGACTGCCTATTGCTACGAGGAGCTGTGTTCTTTATTGGCATGGCTCTGTGGGGAGCTCACCGAGTCAGCAGCCTCAGGAACACCCCCACTTCAGTTCTTCCTTCATTCAGACAGGTCAGGCATGCTTCCATATCACTTTATCTTACATAAATGTTGTTTTCTGATTGGCTGAACGCTCTTCTATTATTTTCAATGTACCCTGCTTACAAGCGATTAACATTTTCTATGTACCCTGCTGGGAATGCCGAACTCATTTGGTACTTTGTAGTAGTAATTCTTTATCTCAAATAACATAGAATCATGTATGATGTACGGAAATTACCTATGTTTTGCGAATGCAAATCGATGGAAGGGGGATAACTCAAAATTTGTTTTTCTTGTCGTCTGGTACTCCATACTATGATCCGATACCCATGCTTCAAGCAGTTCAAAAGTACCATTGAGGTGTTCGGTAAGATAAATATGTTTTTCACTGGTCCCTCGGGGCCCATGTGTTGATGTTCCCTCAATGTTCCCTCGATGTTTCTTTATGTTCCCCTCGCCCTTCAGAACATAAACAAACATCAAGGGTACATCAGCTCATGTCCCCCTTGAGACCAGTCAACAATTTATAGTATACACATATACTGACCAAGTATCTGCCCTGTATGTCAATGTACAGATCATAGTACCTGCCCAGTATGTCCATCATATGGACATACAGGGCAGGTACTATGAGCAGTATATGGACATACAGGGCAGGTACTGTGGTCAATACATGGACACACAGGGCAGGTACTATGGTCAGTACATGGACATACAGGGCAGGTACTATGGTCAATACATGGACATACAGGGCAGGTACTGTGGTCAGTACATGGACACACAGGGCAGGTACTATGGTCAGTACATGGACATACAGGGCAGGTACTGTGGTCAGTACATGGACACACAGGGCAGGTACTATGGTCAATACATGGACATACAGGGCAGGTACTGTGGTCAGTATATGGACACACAGGGCAGGTACTATGGTCAGTACATGGACACACAGGGCAGGTACTATGGTCAGTACATGGACATACAGGGCAGGTACTGTGGTCAGTACATGGACATACAGGGCAGGTACTATGGTCAGTATATGGACACACAGGGCAGGTACTATGGTCAGTACATGGACATACAGGGCAGGTACTATGGTCAGTACATGGACATACAGGGCAGATACTTGGTTAGTATATGGACACACAGGGCACGTACTATGGTCAGTACATGGACATACAGGGCAGGTACTATGGTCAGTACATGGACATACAGGGCAGGTACTATGGTCAATACATGGACACACAGGGCAGGTACTATGGTCAGTACATGGACATACAGGGCAGGTACTGTAGTCAGTACATGGACATACAGGGCAGGTACTGTAGTCAGTACATGGACATACAGGGCAGGTACTATGGTCAGTATATGGACACACAGGGCAGGTACTATGGTCAGTACATGGACATACAGGGCAGGTACTGTGGTCAGTACATGGACATTCAGGGCAGATACTTGGTCAGTATATGGACACACAGGGCACGTACTATGGTCAGTACATGGACATACAGGGCAGGTACTATGGTCAGTACATGGACATACAGGGCAGGTACTATGGTCAGTACATGGACATACAGGGCAGGTACTATGGTCAGTACATGGACATACTGGGCAGGTACTATGGTCAATACATGGACACACAGGGCAGGTACTATGGTCAGTATATGGACACACGGGGCACGTACTATGGTCAGTACATGGACATACAGGGCAGGTACTATGGTCAATACATGGACATACAGGGCAGGTACTATGGTCAATACATGGACACACAGGGCAGGTACTATGGTCAATACATGGACACACAGGGCAGGTACTATGGTCAGTACATGGACATACAGGGCAGGTACTGTGGTCAGTGCATGGACAGACAGGGCAGGTACTAGGGTGAGCAGTGTGTGAAGTAGTTTACAGATTTTGCTAGCCAGTTGGGCCAGCTATGCTTGAAAGTTACTAGCCCTCAAAATGATTCACTAGCCCAAAATTTGAATTTGGAAACTAAGCAAATGATTACACAAAGGTAAAATATGATCAAAAACAAAAGCGGTAAGAAAACACATCTCTGAATTCCTGAAACATTTTACTGTTGCTCAAATAACTTAAATAAGTCACCGTTAAGCTGCTAATATAATGAACATATTTATCGGAGAGAGTGATATATTTACAAAATGACTCCATGAAAATTCACTATCCAGTCAGGCCAGTGACAAGATTTACTGGCTCGCCTGGATTTTTAATAGCCACAGGCTAGCGGGTCTGTGGCTATTTCGCACACTGACGGTGAGTAGTACTAAAGGCAGAACCCCCCTTCCTTCAAGCTGTTCTGGCAGTGATGGAATAGTGGTAGAAGATTTTTAAAATTAGTGAATGATAATTATGATTATTTCTAATTCTAAGAATACTGCCCCTTGTACAGTAGTATTACTCCCTCACACATTCCCAACCATTTGTCTCTGTTTGTCTAGTTTACATATACTTATTGATATTGAATTAGAGTATGATGAAAACAATAGGTGCAAAATAAGCTCTGTGAGACCTGGTATTCTTATTTCACCCAGGTTTTATCCACCTCGGACTGGCTTGTTGCCTATGAAGTGACCAAGTCTGTGCAGAGACTTGTGAGAAAGTATGGGAAGGATCAACAGCATATCACCTGGGATATTCTGCTGGATATCATTGAGATCATCCTAAAACAATTGCACACAGCACAGGTCAGTGATATCCATGGATATATCATCAGGCCCAAGCATCAAGACATCTATGACATATTTCAGAACACTATTAACTCTATTTATACATTACCCATCAGCATTGAGTCTAGTGAGGTCAGTACACCAGTAACATGTGGCATCTCTTCACAATAGTCAATTGATGTCACATTTCCCAGTCCCCAGATGGTGTTCCTCCCCTGAAACGTCTCCTCCCCTGAAGGTGCTCTTGCCCTCATGGTGCTCCTCCTGTGATGCCCCCTTGATGGTGCTCCCCTGTGATCCCCTGATGGAGATGGTGCTCCTCATCCCTGATGGTGATGGTGCTCCTCCCCTGATGGTGATGGTGCTCCTCCGATGGTGATGGTGATGGTGCTCCTCCTGATGGTGATGGTGCTCCTCCCCTGATGGTGAAGGTGCTCCCCTGATGGTGAAGGTGCTCCTCCTGATGGTGAAGGTGCTCCTCCCTGATGGTGATGGTGCTCCTCCCTGTGCTCCTGTGATGGTGCTCCTCCCCTGATGGTGATGGTGTGCTCCTCCCTGATGGTGATGGTGCTCCCTGATGGTGCTCCTCCCTGATGGTGATGGTGCTCCTGATGGTGATGGTGCTCCCTGATGGTGATGGTGATCCTCCCTGATGGTGATGGTGCTCCTCCCTGATGGTGATGGTGCTCCTTCCTGATGGTGATGGTGCTCCTCCCCTGATGGTGATGGTGCTCCTCCCCTGATGGTGATGGTGCTCCTCCCTTGGTGATGGTACTCCTCCCCTGATGGTGAAGGTGCTCCTCCCTGATGGTGATGGTGCTCCTCCCTGATGGTGATGGTGATAGTGCCCTGATGGATGGTGCTCCTCCCTGATGGTGATGGTGCTCCTCCCTGATGGTGATCCTCCCTGATGGTGATGGTGCTCCTCCCTGATGGTGATGGTGCTCCTTCCTGATGGTGATGGTGCTCCTCCCCTGATGGTACTCATCCGCTGATGGTGAAGGTGCTCCTCCCTGATGGTGATGGTGCTCCTCCCTGATGGTGATGGTGCTCCTCCCTGATGGTGAAGGTGCTCCTCCCTGATGGTGAAGGTGCTCCTCCCTGATGGTGATGGTGCTCCTCCCTGATGGTGATGGTGCTCCTCCTGATGGTGAAGGTGCTCCTCCCTGATGGTGATGGTGCTCCTCCCTGATGGTGAAGGTGCTCCTCCCTGATGGTGAAGGTCCTTCCCTGATGGTGATGGTGCTCCTCCCTGATGGTGAAGGTGCTCCTACCTGATGGTGAAGGTGCTCCTCCCTGATGGTGAAGGTGCTCCTCCCTGATGGTGATGGTGCTCCTCCCTGATGGTGAAGGTGCTCTTACCTGATGGTGAAGGTGCATGGTGCTCTTCCCTGATGGTGATGGTGCTCCTCTCTGATGGTGATGGTGCTCCTCTCTGATGGTGATGGTGCTCCTCCATGACGGTGATGGTGCTCCTCTCTGATGGTACTCCTCTCTGATGGTGAAGGTGCTCCTCCCTGATGGTAATGGTGCTCCTCTCTGATGGTGCTCCTACCTGATGGTGATGGTGCTCCTCTCTGATGGTGAAGGTGCTCCTCCCTGATGGTGATGGTGCTCCTCCCTGATGGTGAAGGTGCTCCTACCTGATGGTGATGGTGCTCCTCCCTGATGGTGATGGTGCTCCCCTGATGGTACTCCTCCTGATGGTGCTGGTGGTGCTCCTACTCCCTGATGGTGATGGTGCTCCTCCCTGATGGTGATGGTGCTCCTTCCTGATGGTGAAGGTGCTCCTCCCTGATGGTGAAGGTGCTCCTTCCTGATGGTGATGGTGCTCCTCCCCTGATGGTACTCATCCGCTGATGGTGATGGTGCTCCTCCCTGATGGTGAAGGTGCTCCTCCCTGATGGTGATGGTGCTCCCTGATGGTGCTCCTCCCTGATGGTGATAGTGCTCCCTGATGGTGCTCCTCCTGATGCTGATGGTGATGGTGATGGTGATCCTACCCTGATGGTGATCCTCTCTGATGGTGAAGGTGCTCCTCCCTGATGGTGAAGGTGCTCCTCCCTGATGGAGAAGGTGCTCCTCCCTGATGGTGAAGGTGCTCCTCTCTGATGGTGATAGTGCTCCTCCCTAATGGTGAAGGTGCTCCTCTCTGATGGTGATGGTGCTCCTGCCCTGATGGAGATGGTCCCCATCCCTTGATGGTTCTCCATGCCTGATGGTGATAGTGCTCCTGCTCTGATGGAGATGGTCTCCATCCCTTGATGGTGCTCCTCCCCTGATGGTGATAGTGCTCCTCTCTTGGTGGTGATGGTGCTTCTCCCTTGATAGTAATAGTGCTCCTACCTTGGTGGTGATGCTGCTCCTCGCCAGATGGTGATGGTGCTCCTCCCTGATGGTGAAGGTCCTCGTCCTCGATGGTGATGGTGCTCCTACTGTGATGGTGCTCCTCCGCTGATGGAGATGGTCCCCATGCGTTGATGGTTCTCCATGCCTGATGGTGATGGTGCTCTTCCCCTGATGGTGATGGTGCTCCTCCCTGATGGTGATGGTGCTCCTCCTGTGATGGTGCTCCTCCTGGCTGATGGAGATGGTCCCCATGCGTTGATGGTTCTCCATGCCTGATGGTGATGGTGCTCTTCCCCTGATGGTGATGGTGCTCCTCCCCTGATGGTGCTCCTCCCACAAAATGCTTTCTTCACTGAGTTAGTGAGTAACTCAATACAAAAGAGACAATACAGAATTACTGCTAACAGCTGACTGATCATGTGTTTTCAGCTGAATGGTGCAGTTCCGGATTCCGCCATGCAGTGTCAGCTGGAGGTGCATGATGTCCTGTCTGCTGTGGAGGAACTACATCGACATGGACATTTCCTTGGATCTCCACACAGGTTCTTCACCATCCTGGAACTGTGTTCTAATAAGAGATCGGTAAACTGTTAAGAAGACATTTTTTCTTTGAATGGTTTGTTGACTGAAGTGAGCATGAGTTGTGGCCTGATTGCAAATTTCAGTGATTTGTTGAAAACATAATGAAATATGGTAGTAGTGAAATATATATTTTACATTTTAACGGGTTTTTTATCTTTACACTTTGCTTCCAGATTCTCTCAAAATGCATTGCCTACCACTGTGATTATTATCTCCAAGGCAACCACAAGACCAATGAAGCTGACACTTCGGATTTAATTATGCCACCTCAGCCATATTAAAAATTCTATTTGTTGGCATTTTTCTGCCATTTGTGTTGAAAGTGTCATGAAATTAGGTATTTGTTTCATTTCCAATATTGTTTTGTTTCTTTAACCATGTTGACTTTGTTTTGACCATGCTATCAAATTTTCTCACAATACATATTTGGCTCTTTAAACACAGGTGCATCACTTGGTAATTTCAGTTACATGTGTATCAGGGATGATGTCTGTGACATCCTATGACATCCTGTGACATGCAGGTGCATCCAGGGGTAATGTGATGTCATCTGTTGTCCATGAGGTGTAGATAGACATAATGTCTGTAACATTAAGGTGTATCTGGGAATGCTGTGTATTGCAGGAGTCATCTGTTGAGATGCTGATGGAGTACCAGGCCCAGGCCATACACCCAGGCAAGGAGCAGTGGATGCAAAGTCTCAACCATCTCATGGACAAGTACTTCAGGTCCTGCTTTGTCTTATAGCAACACAAGTACTCTGATCTCATCACATACCCATGTCTAATGACTAGTAAAATGTCCTTGAATACATCGCAGTGTGTGTGTTTTGTCAATGAATGTCTTAAACTTGCAGGCAAGAAAGCCGAACTGGTATTCGCAAGAAAGCTCTGGATATCCTGTCCCATGTACTCAGTATCAACAAGCATGTGTATGAGGTATGTGATTCTAGCAGCAGCCAACCGGATGTGAATCCTGTACATGGCCACTTGCACAAAGCAATCTGTGTTGAGGTGTAGGAGTACAATAAATGTCTTAGTGCTGGGAGGGTTGTCAACAAGCAGGCTAATGATATCAACTTATGTGTAATGTCGGTTACTTTGTATGTAGGCCTATAAAGGAATACAAGGAACTGTAGAATAAGGTGGGATCCAATGTCACATCATGTGTCAGTGTTCACTCAGAACATGTCGACCGCTTGTTTGCAACCAAGACTTATTTGTATATCCTATCATATTTCTGAACTGTTGGAGACTGAGTTGAAAATATTTACTTGTGCACTGCCAAGCCCATTTACACAAAAAGTATGTGATTTTAACTACCAGTTGTCAGACTTCCATTTTAGGGAAAGCCTCAGTGGCTGAGTGGGTTGAGTTACTGATTTTGGGAGTACTCTGACAGTTTGGGTTCAATTCCCTGATGGGACATAGCCCATAGCAAATGTAACATTTCTTACATTTGACCACTTTCTAAAAGACATTGTGTATTAAATAAAACGATTGTTGAGAAAGAAAATGATGATGACAGACTTTTACAGACTTTTACTTTGAATAATAGTGATGGTTGACGTAAGGAGTAGTATATACAATGGGGGTTTTGGACCAGTTCCAACAAAAGCCTCTGCAAAGCTTTATTTCACAAATAAGGCTTTGGTCGGACCCTTAGCTCTTGCTACTATTACCCCTACTATAAAAAAGTTTGAGACGCTAGCGGGATACGAACTCCACATGTATACCCCACAACCGCGCCGCTTAACCGACTGAGCTACCGGGGACTTGGCTGAAGTATGTTGGTTTAACGGGTCTATCCTGGGATTGCATCATCGTGCCGCTATGCCGTGTTGACTGGAGGTAACACTGTGCCGTACGGTACGATCAATAATTCCGCTCTTACAAAGCCTCTACCCGGCCCATCCCTCAAGAAGTACAAGTTAGGCTCGTCGGCTTTCATGTCCACTTTATCTATGTTGTAAGTTTTGACTGACCATATAGGATTGGTGGCTCGCTCACGGCTATCACCCTCGTGTTCCCCCGGCTGGTATAGATACCTCACTAGTGCCCTATCTGGTATCTGTTTCTCCTTCCCATGCAATGGAGCAGCCGACTCTGCCACTATTGATTTTAGTTTGATAGCGTCTGCCGGTTTCTTGCCGGTGAGACGGGTGGCTTCATGGTTGATTGCCGACACCACCTTGGGTAACCTCACGACCCATTCAGTCGATCATTTTCCCGGGGTTGCCATCTCCCTCGCATACTGATGCCCGAATAAGAGCTCAGCCAAAGTTCTATTAAATCTCTCAACTATGGCTAGGCTGCGATGGGCTCCAGCCGTGCCACGCCTGACCTTTGTATCGTGTTTGTCTAACAGGTGTGACACGACACCCATGAACTCCCGCCCGGGGTCAACTGTTGGCCACGTCAGCGGACTGCGTTTGTATATGCGTTCGAATCCTCTGGCTACCTGGGCAGAATCTTTCGTGGTCAAGGGCTCGGCTTCCTTGTAGCGACTGGCTACGTCCACTACGGTTAAGGCATACTTGTACCTCTTGTCGTGGGGTAGGAACAGTAGGTCTGCCTGGTGAACGCTATTAGGTATGTTAATACCAAACTTCCTTCTAGGTACGTAGCGTGGTGGCGGTAAATAGATCTGCCACAGGGCTTGTTTTTCAAGCCATGCTTTGGCCTCCTCCGGGGGTACTCGCGCCATTTTAGCCAGCTTATCTACAGCGTTAGCTCCTTTCCAGTACCCACGCGGGCTATAGTAAATAGCCTCAAACTTTCTCTGGTTCCGTGACATGTCGTCCCGACAGGGTATTTATATATACCTATGTTCTTGGTTCAATTTTCTCATGCCCGTATGCGTACGTGTTTATCCCATCAATAGCTATCCAACGTTTAGTGTCCATCGGCGACAGGGACTTCTTGTTTATAGTCAGTCCGTATATCCTATGGCCATCACTTCTAAGTGTGTTCATTTTATGTCTAAAGGTACGGGTCTTGAACAGGGCTTCCTTGAATCTGGCGTGTTTGATGTGTTGTTTAACCACTTACTTCTTAACACCCTTAGCCTTCCGGATCTCACCATTGTCGGCTTTCAGTATGGAGTACATCTTAGGTCTCAAACCTATGTACTCAGCTATGGGCGTGCCAGCACACTCGTCCTTCATCTTACCTAGGACCTTTTTATTTACCGTACTGTGTATGGCATGGTCCTTGGGGTAGTCGCTGGTGTCATACAAATCGAGGTGTTTTTTCATGTCCTCGTACACGTCCTCGGTTCGAATCTCCATCAGCAGGGAATCTGTGTCAGTGTACAGCACTTCACACCTGTCGTCATACTGTTTCTTAAGCTCGTTGTAGTAAAAGTCGTACATCAGGTGTTTGGATAAATCGAGGATGCTCATCCCCACGTAAACAGGCCGGTTGAATTTTATGTGGCTTTTCTTCATGTGTAGGGCAACTAGGTCATCGGTGAATATTTTACTCACGGTTGAATGCCGGACTGGCTATCAGTCTCCTGAGCTTGTCTTCCTCATTCGACCGAACCAGCTTCACGGTCACGCGTTTCCTAAGGTTCTCCATAGTCTTACCAAACACCGAGTTGTTCATGAGCTTGTAGAGATTTTTCTCAAAGTCACTAGTGGCAAGCTTTCGGAGGTCCGTGTTCATTCTGATGTAAGGCTCCATCCATGGGCTCTGGTTGAACACGAGCACCCTGTGTATTTTGGTCAGCCTCATACCCAACGACATGTACAGCTGTAGGTTGCGATAGTGAAGATGTACTTGGTCTTATTCATTAAGTTGGGCAGGAGTTTTTCAACGTCTGCCACCCGCCCACCTAACAAGTTATGTTGGTACTCAGACATCCAGTCTGGGTTAACCCTCATACGTTCGGGGGCTAGGGGGTAGCTGTTGTGTGATGTGTGTAATGCCTTGGGGTATTCCAAGTCAACCTCGAGGATATAACCTTTGTTCGAATCTGGTGCGATGCTCATAACATCAACCTCATGTGACGCCCATTCGAATCCCCCTGTGGGTAGATACTGGCTCATAGCCCAGCCGTACAGGTTGTTGGCATCGAGGTAGAGAATGTGATTGGTTGGCTTGCTCGGGTCGTAGCCCTTCACGTATTGATTATTTGCTTTCGCGTATCGTTTGGTTGCCATGGAAATCCCGCCGCAAGCCTTTCTCAATGAATAAGTGCATGTCGTAATCGGTGAGCAATTCCAACTTAACTCCGGTCTTTTTCAACAAGGCATCCCACGACAGACCTGGGCTGGTGTAATACCATGCGGGGTCGAGTTCATACTGCTTGAAACATGTCCACCTAAACGTCTCAAACACGTCGGCTAACAGCAGTACATCTGTCCTCAAGTACAGGTCGTGATAATCACCCAGATTCTTACAACATAGTTTATTCCATACATTAATAGCCGTAATCGTCTTGGGATATTGCCGAGGTCAGATTGCTGTAAAATTCTCTGATGGGGGGTAGTCTGGTCTCGGCGAACTTGGCCCAGCCATCCATGTACTCATAGGGGTACACACCCTTTCTCATCAGCAGGGGTCTAGTCTCGGCGTCTGTGTATCGATCGGTAATAGGGAAGGCATCGTTGGCCTTGACCAGACTGTCGAGTGACGACAGTAGAAACTGAATCGAGTCGATGAACCTAAGGCCGTTTAAACTGAAGGAGATGTATCTCTCCATGTTGTTGGGGATACACGTTATATTGCCATCGATTTTCGCGATGGCCTGCATGATTAAGTGAGAGTCGTACCCTCTCAAGTTGTGAAAGACCACGGGGATGTTTATTGTCTTAGGGATGATTCTAAGCTTGAGGTTACACGCGCTGTGAGCGGCGCCTCTATACTTACCGGTTACGTGGCAGTGATCTCTCACCGAATCACCGTTAAGTGGTGAGTCACACACGTGGCAGTTAGTGCTACAGGCGTGAGCTAGCCTGTCGGCTTGGGTCATACGCATGGGAGCGACTCTATACAGTGCGTTCCTAATAATTTTTCTTCCTCCCGCAAACACTTAAGAAACCTTTCAGCCGCATCGGGACCCCTATACACTACCGGAGCTTTCATTTCCCCATCACAACGGACGACCACGTATCCAAACCCACAGGCCTCATGCTCCTGTGTTTTCTGTGTGGTTGGGGTACCCCCAACAACCCCGCCTGTGGGAGTATCCCCAACAGCCCCGCCGGCGGCAGCCTCAACAGGTTTAACCAAGGCTTCAAAGTCGGCGTATATGATATAAGGCACAGACATTTGGTTCTTGTGGTTACCGAATTTTAGGATATTGTCACCTTCCTTAGGCATGTCGACTCGTATAGCCGTCTGCCCCACACCTTGACAATCCTCCCGGTGGGATTCTAATAAATCAGCTCGTGTGAAGCCATGTAGGCACCGTTCGCAGAAGTGGGTCTTTTCTCTGTGTGCTGATTGGTCATACAACAGCCTGCTAAAGTGTTTTATCCATGTGTAGTGGTACTTGTCACCTCGCTGAATCATGAATATATTGATAACGCGAGGGGGGTTCCCCCCCTGTCCCCCCAGTTGGGGTTTCCCCAACACTGGGCTTACTCTGTGCACTATTGTTGTGTTACCTTCATGCCCAAAGACATTTATAGCTAGATTATTCTGTTTTTCTATTTTAGTTATCTGGGATATGGGGGTGGGTTCATCTATACCATCCCAGTTGAGCCCATCATCTTGGGGATAGCTAGAAAGCCTGTCTGAATGAGTGTCAGCTGGAAACAAGGCTGACCTGATAGCTACCCTCAGGCAATCGTCTCCTCTATTCTTGACGTTGACCATGGCATGTTTTTTCCTATAGTAGGGGGCAAGTCTAGGTATGACCCGCCTCTGAATGGCACGTAGTTAGCTATGTCTAGATAGACATTATCGATTTTATCTACAGTCCACCCAGA